AACTGATCCACTGATAGAATCGAATGGTTCCAGAACCGTAGTGTCTTCTGCCAAGTGAACCTCTTCACTTTTATTGTATCTTTCAACATTTGCTTTCCACTTTCATTCAGTCACTGGCCTCGCTAGTTTTGTGATGTGCTCTATGTGAATTAAAAATTTAGATATGCATTTTTCTGACATAACATATATTATTATTATTATTATTATTAGTAATCAATCAATGGTGGTGTGTACCATTGCGTTTAAATGTTATTCTAACCACAGACAACTGAGTCTTGCTTCTCCTACTTGTCTACAGAATAACTGAATTATAATTTTTTTCATTATCTAGGCCCTACATATCCAGAAATATGTACTCTTAAAAAAACTGAAAACCCCCTCCAGCTGATAACGAAATTAAACTAAAGCCACGTTATAAGTTCAATTAATTACACTTGTGTAATGACAAATCCTAAAATATATGTTTCAACTAAATTATTTACCGTAGCACAAAGTGTTGATTTTAAGTCTATAACATTTGGCCGTTTGAATGTAGCCTAGAGTAGAGTGATCTACAATTACCATGTCGGATATGGCGATGATTATTGCATCGGGCCAGAAACGTAACTGAAACGCTATCGGAAATGTGAACAAACATACACTTTGCTGACCTCTCTGCACATATTTGCTCATCCATTCAACTCTTAGCCAGCCCTTCCATTGTATATAATAGCCAAACTCAGTCGGTTTGCTTCCAATTCGTATAACAAAACATTAAAACTGTTCCTTTAATACACACAGGGAGCACTGTATAAAAGTATGTTTTTTACAGTTCATTGTGAAATGAAATCTTTAGAGACACACAATACACATGTGATTTACAGAAGAAGGAAAATAAGTTGATCTCAGAAGACGGACGGCTACACAAACTTGGCTCTTGTAAACAACTTTGCAGAATTACTTTTGTCATTGTGATTTGTCAGGTGACCCACTAAACTTGTAATCTTATTACTTTGTCTCGGTATCAGATTGAAGCTTTCTTTAAGTAGCAATCGAGTATGTGTAAGAAAAAGAAATATCTAATATTCATATTTTAAAGTCGAAAATCTTAAAATATTGTTATTTCAATATTATTTTTCAATTTAATAGGTTTGTCTGACATACAAATGACGGTTTATTTTTTGCATTGTGTAAACGACACTTGTGCTATACTACTTATACATTTGCAAATGTAATTGTTATCATCTTATTGGTTCAAGATTCATTAATCTCGAAGCTCAGCAAATCAAATGCCTAAATCGATTCCTAATAAATTATTAATGTTGTTGTTTAACGTTAGCTCTTTTCAGAAACCCATTTTCATTATAAGTTTGGTCGTTTGACTAAGGATTCGTATTGCTGTAAAAATAATGGTGAGAGTAGAGATTGAATGTAGACCCATACGACTGTTTTATCCGAAAAATTGTGGAGTTTACTAATTATTGCAAAAAGTTAAAAAACAGTTATAAGAAAATAAATGTACTTACTCCACCTTTCCATTTTGTAAACACTTTCGGTTGCTTTAGTAAAACAGTCTTAAGTCATAAGGCCATTTTTAATGTCTCAGTGTTTACTTGAAATGTCTGCTACCCTTGTCTGTTTTGGCCATGAGGTCCCAACTTACATTTTAGGAACCCGCTACAAGTAATAAAGTAATTGAGGAAGGAAGAAGTAACCTGATTACGTTGGGTGGGTTTTACCTGACGTTGTTCTGTCCAATTACGTTTTGACAATGAGGAGAACGTAAATTGACAACAGAGTGTCACTAAGTCTAACAATTACTGACTGAAGGTGTCACCTTTCATAAAACTAAACATCAGACACTCCTAACGAGATTATGATGCACTTTGTTGTATTTTGTTATTCATTTTCAAGGAGAAAACTGTATGCAAAGGTCTGACTATGAAAAATAATTAAATTCAACAACAATGTGCAATGTGAGTAATTGAAAGTTCACACAACTGAAAACTTGGACACAGTACAACTATAAAAACTTCTCAATACATAACTAATCCCCACAACGGTTACTACAATTGATAATATAATACGGGGTATGCATACTACTGATACTAGGCCAACGTGTAGTTTCAAAACAACATATTTTAATTTTCTAAGGTAAATACATAGTTTATTCAGGGAATGATGTTTATGGCCCGAGCTTACAAGATAGCTATTAGGTTTTCCCTGTTAAGGACCATGATTGTGGACCAGAATATGTATATCAATGTATGTGCATTTAAGAAACGGCTTTACCAATAAGCAGGGAAATAATTCACAATCTGTTGAGCCGTTTATCGCAGTTGCTCTTTAAGGTTTTGTTTTTATTATGGGTACTATAATGAGTCACGTGTATTTTTCCTACCTACAATAATTTAAGAAGGTACCAAAATTCCTGAACAGAATGAGATTTATCCATGTTAGCTATTGTATATTTAAAGATGTTCTGCAGTCAATATTATATGCCACAGTTTTTATTCCTGTAAAGTTCATAAATTTCGCTACATTTTAAGTAAGAACTGGGTTAATTATTCTACTTTTACCTAAAACCTTAAAATGTGTTTAATCTTTGCAGTTTTACAACATACATCTGACACTGTAACAATTTGATGTTTAAATGCCTATTTAAATTTATTTTGAGAATTATTTATTTTCATCTATACGCTGCATCAATTTTATACTATAACGCCTATTTGAGGCAATGCTTAAAAAACTTTGATCAGAACTGAGACAATATTTACTGTTAAAGTAACAATATCTATATGGAAAAGTATAAAATTTGTTTTCGATAACACGAGTTTCCGATCAGTTGAATATAGTTTCTTCACAAAATACATCTTGGATAAGTCTGTTTCTTTGTTTCAAAGTAGATCAGTGGTGGGAAGTAAGAGAGCTAGTGGAATAAAGTTGGACTGAGGAAGAAATTTAACGTTGATAACGTAAATTGCATTCAGAGAGCACAACAACTCTTTTCCATTAGGAAATGAGCATCCTGTTTTGCAAAATAAAAATTTAAAATGCCAAAATTAAGTAACTTTTTACATTAGCGTTAATGTTGTTTATCCTCGGTTTTTGTAGAAGGAAAACCAGTTATAACATCCTTATATACCTTTACATACAAATATGCAATGGTTATACTCAAGATTATTATCATAGTAAAATAATTATTTTTTATACACAATTTACCGATTGCTTATATTTTTAGGAGATGTACGATGTAAAAAATAAATTACTACACTTTATTAGGTAACCCTAACGCATAGCTTAAATTGTGTTGTATATTACGGGTAGAAGTACCTCACCTGAGCTTGTGAATCAACCTTCTAAATTTGATTGTTTTATAAGAGGAGTGAGCATAAAGTCCCGGAAACAACTTTCTATACTGCTCCGCATATTCTTCCATTATATTCCTTCTGTATCTTCTTCTGCAGAAAATGTGTTAGGATTTTTACCTTCAACTTCATTTTCTTACAGATTTGAGGACTTAAAAACTTAAGCAAAAGACCATTGCCATGTTTTACTCTCCAAGGGAGGAAACGCTCACTAGATCAAATACAAATTCTAATAGAGAAAATTAAAATTAATAAAATAGCTAAAATCTGTTTCCTTCAAGAGTACTATCCAAACTTTAACTACCCATGCTCACCTTTACAAACGGACAAATGTTGATACTTTTTACCATTTTGGTTTCTCAATCAAAACCACAATCAACACATATCTACCACTAATGTATGTTTCTCCGTAAATACTATATATGCCCTGATTGCATGTTTGGCTTTTAAATTTACAAAATAAAATCCCCTGACCTTTTGGTTTGTCATTTAATAATATTATCTATGTCTAAGCCAAAATTATTATAAATTTTTTACCATTTCATATTCAATACTTTTCACACATCAACTTCTAACTTAGTAATGTCACTAAGTAATATGACATACTTGTATTATTACTTTTTTGACATTAAAATTTCTGAAATGATCCAGTAAACCTACATACCATTTTGTTGTGATTTTAACAATATTTTCTACACCTACCTCTGTTCTCTGGCACAACGTCCTCACTACGGCACAACCTACAAATGTTTTTAATTTACAAAATCGGAACCGGACTTTCAGTTTATAAGAGATGTAAATACTAAAGACCTATGGAGTTTGGATAGTCTATGGATTTGTTATTGCCTTCATTAAAATTATGATGATATAGCTTTGGGTCAGTTCAATGAAACAATTAAGCTTGAAAATGTAAGGTATTCGGTTGGTTGGCCTTGGAAGGAGACCAAAGGAGACCCTGACCTACCAAAGAACTACAATTTGTCACTGGCAAGACTTAACTCACTTGTACCATTTTAAGAGCAATTCTAGTGTGCTTGAGAAGTACGATAAAATAATTAAGGATCAATTTAAGGATTAACTTAATTATTTAAAAGGCTCCTCCTAACGATGTTTTAACAGTTTTTCACTATATCCCACACCACTTAGTTATCAATAAGTGTTAAATCACAACTAAGCTAAGAATTGTGTATTATGCATCACCAAAGACAAATCACAGTTTTAACGATTGCTTGTACCTTCTCTTCTAACACGACCAAAATCTTTAGGATTATTACGGACTTTTCAGGGCCTGAAATGTGATTTAGATTTTTGGTGAAAGTACTTAAACGTAACAAGATAAGTAAACGAACCTAGGAAAGCTTTGTTGTTGATCTTGTTGGTGTGTGTGTTATGTTTTCAGTCTATGTTTTTGTCTACTTACGATTCACTTTCTCACCTACGATGGCATCCAAGGTGTTTATGGCCGTTTTTACAATTTCATCCCGGCAACTTAACTTTACTAGTCATGAAATGTCTGCAACGATTCCTTAATCAACATCTACTCATCATTACCAAAAATGATCTTTAAAAATTCAACCAAATGAAACTGTTTACCATTTCAATTTCACAATTAACAGTTCACTAAATAGTTTTCACTCTTACTTTATGTTACAGTGCGGCGAGTGCCTCCGTCTTTCTCCATCCCTCCACCTCCGCAGCACGAGGTGATGCTAGGTCAGGACCTGAACCTCACCTGTGTGGCTGTCGGGTCACCCATGCCGTACGTCAAGTGGAGGCGAGGCCCTGCGACTGACCTGACGCCCGAAGACAAGCTGCCCATCGGTCGTAACGTCCTCGAGCTCACCGGGATTCAGGAGTCTGCCAACTACACGTGTGTGGCAGCCAGTGCTCTTGGAGTCATAGAGGCTACTACCCAGGTCAAAGTGCAGTGTAAGTATGGAAATCATCAGCAATTGCGAAGGATTTTGGCTTATTCGTGATTTAGATTCTTAATGTATTAATTTCAATGGACCTGTAGACTTGACATTTGTAGTAGGTACCTATTGAGAACGTGATTGGGTGCATCCCCAGCTATTAGATTTGAAGGGTGCGTAATGCTGAGCCCATTTGTAACTAAGACAATCTTTAAATGCCTCGTGACATGGCCTCCTCCAATACAATGTTGCGGCGAGACAATAGTGGCAAAGCTGAACTTTCCTCAATACGGCCTTGTATTAGAGGAGGCTATAAGCTAGTGGCCAAGCACTACTGCACGAGTTTTAAACCTTGAAAGCCTCTATTGCATGGTCCATAAGCTATTGCAATAACAGCTAAACATTTTAACAAACTATATCTCCCCAGCACTCCCCGGACCGCCGACCAACATCCAAGTCTCAGACATTACTGCAACTTCCGTCAGGCTGACCTGGACATATCCCTCCGATGACTTGCAGTATTACGTGATCACCTACAAGCCCAAGTACGCCAACCAAGCCTTCAGTGAGATCTCGGGGATCATCACAATGCATTACACCGTCCGCTCGCTCAGTCCGTACACGGAGTACGAAATGTACGTCATCGCCGTCAACAACATCGGACGAGGTCCTCCCAGCGCTCCCGTCATCGTTACCACCGGGGAGACAGGTGACGTACTTTTTCCTGTTTTTGTTTAGTATTTTTTACCTATCAGTATCAATTAATATTCTATCTAGTATCAAACTTGGTATATTAGTAGATCTTTAGTACATTATTTTGCATACTAATCAGTATTATCATCTACTATAAATTTAAGCGACTACCGGTATATACCTTTAAATTTAATGTATTATATATTACATTACAAGTATTTTATCATTCAAAAATTTTTGTACAGTAGTTAAGCAGTGTTTTTGTTTTCTTACCTAATTTGAATAATTTGATCACGTTCGTGCGCAGAATGGCCATGACCATTCAAGCCAGCTATGAAGTACCTTTCATAGTAGTAGTTTGTAGTTTCTCTACGTTAAGCTGTAAATTTTACTTTTCTGCTTTAGTATGGGCTTCATAAGGTAATCTAATGCCATTGACTTTTGTATGATCAAAGCTAATATGCACATGGAAAAGGGTTCTAAATTAGTTTTACACCATGAAGACCAATATTAGATTCACAGTCTATACTATCCAATCTTTAGATCCTAGATATTGATTTGTAAGTTGCCTACGGCGCCAAAACACCAGATGTGTACTTGGTAAAGACAAGTTTATAGATAAAATGGGATACCCAATGTTAATTTTTAGAGTTTTTTAGTTATTGATTGAGATAATGATAAAATTGCTTATATTATATTTTCATCTTTTTTTATTTCAGAGAATTGCCAATATACAACTTAGTCTAGGAAGGCTTTTTTTAGTACACTTATGCAAAAATTATGTTTCCATTTAATGCAATTATACAAAAGAGATTTTCAGATGATATCTTAACGAATGATACATGGAGAAGTTTTTAGTATCATACGAGATAAAAATGTTCTGTGGTTTTTTGGTGACTTTTTTGATTTTTGTGTTTTGATGGATTTCTCCGATTTTTTTCTAAAAACAAAACCTTTTGCTGTTTTCATGCCGTTTTGCCACTGGATTTTACATATGGATGTAAGTTTTATAGTTGTTTCGACGGATGTAGATGGACACTTGCACAGTAACTAGTTTTATCGGCACTCTGCACCTTAGGACAGTAAAGCAAGCCCTTCTGTGTGGTCCAAAACACTTCTTTTATCTTAGGGCAACAGTATGCACTACTGCATTCTTTCTAAAAACTATCTCTTGAGTGTATCTTCATATAAAATGTGTTTTTAGTGTTAAACTACTTATTCGTAGTAATCTTTCTAAACAGTCCATTTTCATTAAACATTGCCTCTATAAATCCATTAAAATTGTGATTCAAGACACTTTTGTTACAACTTGAATGGAGTGAATAATACCATTATATCGAATAGGATAATCCAAAATGTCTAATTGTTTGCTGTATTATTCAACAAAAGGTATCATCTTTCAACAATGGGCGCTGTTGATGTTAATTAATTGATCAATGCCTTAAACAAGGAGCATATTTTGTTACAGATTATTATGCACACTTATTTCACGATAGAAAATATTTGATTCATATAAAAATATACTCTTGATGAATAAAAAGGTGAGTTTTGAAGTTTGACTTGGTAGTTCATTTGCAAACTAGTTGAAAATATGAATTCAATATGCTTTCATTAAATTTGTATGGTTTATAGATTTATCTCTCTTCTTGCATTCATTGTCTATCTTTTTTTCAATTTTAGGTGAAATTATAAGAGTTAACAATAAAAATCTTGAAGATTTTAGTAAGTATCTCATTTTAAAAGAGTGGTTTCAGTTTTCAATAATATTTCAATTTTTTTATTGGGACGAATTTTAAATGCTGTATCTTGGCTTTGTTATGCATTTTGTGTCTATATACCAACAGAAATTTTACCAAATAGTGAATATATTGATAGATTTATTGGTAATAAAGTTTTGTGATAACTTCTGCTATTCAAGATTGTGACCTGTATGCATTCTTCCCCACAACCATTAAAAGTAAAAGTAAAATTTCAAACTACTACAGTTATGTTTTCCTTTAAAACAAGTCAATTCTATTGGCATCTCGTGTATCCCCGTATATTCAAGAAATGTCTCTCAAAAACACTTTTGTATTTCCTTACTGAACTTGCGTTGAAAATTAGCTAACTTATACACATTTATTTATTTAATATAACAAGGTTGTAAAAGATTCAATTTACTAATTTTAAAATTATTCTAAAACCTAACAATTGTCTCAGATTTGTCAACTTTTCGATATTTACAAGTCAGTACGTCTCTATTTAATCAGTATTGTACTGTTTGGATGTGTTAAACAACTTAAAGATATAAAAGAAAATATAGAAGACTATACAGGGTGTCCCGGAACTCTCTACCAATATTTTAGGGCATTGCTCCTGGGTAAGAAACATACCTAAATATCATATTTAAATTGTCCGGAAGTCCTTAGTTACACACACAGCCTCCATTTTGTTTTTTTCAGTTATTAATTTTTTTCTAAAAAGTAGTTAAACATACGAAATGGAAACTTTGCACAAACATTTATGACAACTAGACAAAGCTACAAAAAAAATTACGGCGATTTTTCAAATTCATAAAACAAGATGGCGGACTTTAAAATTTTGTTTCTTAAATAACTCAAAAACCGTTGATTTTACAAAATTTTTTTATGGCTGCCATTTTGTTTTATGAATTTGAAAAAACGTCATAATTTTTTTGTAGCTTTGTCTAGTTGTCATAAATGTTTGTGCAAAGTTTCCATTTCGTATGTTTAACCATTCTTTAGAAAAAAAAATAATAACTAAAAAAAACAAAATGGCGGCTGTATGAGTAACTAAGGACTTCCGGACAATTTAAATATGATATTTAGGTATGTTTCTTACCCAGGAGCAATGCCCTAAAATATTGGTAGAGAGTTCCGGGACACCCTGTATAAAATAACACAGACCATTCCCCACTTGTACCTTTAACTTTGTATGCATGTTGTACATAACACCCCTATCTCTACCATTCTCTTATCTCTATTTCTCTTATCAATGTGCCCAATGGTTTGTCTCATGCACAGTTTCTTGCATTCTCTACATTTTCTCATTGCATACTGTTGACCCCTCAATCTCTTAGGGGCTTGCTTTTTCAGTTTTTGTAAAAAATCTGTATTTTATAATTAAGATCTTACATATTTACAGTTTGTTAATTTTTTGAAGAGGTGTTGACGGTGTTGTAAAGTTTTACCATAAAACATAGGCTATACTTAAATAGTTAGAAAATATTTCTGGTCTGCATTATTATTATCAAGAGATTTTCATGTTTTAAGTTACATAGGCTATTTTATTATCGGTAAATGTAAAAAAAATATTGATTGTGACGTTCTGCAAAATTGTAAATAATACATGTGAGGTGATTCTTAAATTGTTCTTTGTAAAGGTACTCTGTCTAAAAAGTAACAGATTTTTCCAAGCAAGAGTGCCTATCTTAAATAAAATATGTTTGATGTTAGAATCAATATTTCAAAACTTTCCTTCTAGTATCTTAAATATATCTCTAATACTTGGAACAAACCTCACATTGCTTTCAAACAACAGACACATTTGTAAAATAAATTAAAACAATGTTTAAAGACAAAAGATATTGCACTTTAAGAAATTATAGTGAACGATAAACTATACCTTGTGTCTTTCTTAAAAACTATCTCTTGAAAACAACATATTTTAAACATGGGATGATCTGATTAACTGATAATGTGGATTGTTTAATCTGGATTATTCAGTTTCAAAAAGTAAATAAATATATCATTTAAATTTTATCAATCAATATGTTAACAAAATTATTATTAATGATAAGTTTATAGAAAATACTATAACAGTTACTAACAATCTTTGTTTCAATTTTTAGTGGAAACCACAGGAACAAGTAAGTACAAGAATTACTTGCAAATTTGCAACAGTAATTTATTGGTTTTTTCATGCACAACTTTTTGGGTTTGTTTTACTTTTAAAATATGTGTATCCTTAAATATATTTTCACGGCTCGTAAAACAATATTATGTCGTAGGTAAGTGGAGTTGGTTGTCGTAATAGTGTTTGATGGGCAATCTGATTGTTTAAAAAATCTATAAGCTATCAAAACAAGGATTTTATTAACCTCTCTTCTTTGACTGTAGTAGTTTAATTTTTCACATTTTCAAATGTTAAAAATATCTCCTGCCAACATCATTTACAGTATAAACGATTCAAATCAATTATAGTCGTAGGAAAATATATGTATTGGCGAAACAAAATAAAAATTATTGAAAAAAAAAACAGGTTTCCCAAACATAGTTTAAAAACCCCACGCCAATCTCAATTCTCAAAATAAATACAAATAACACTTTCAACCCATGACGGAGATAAAAAAATATCTTCCAACATTGGAAACTTGCGACAGAAGAGAGGGCGACATGAAAACAAATGGCCTCTGATTGAGCGAGGCCCGTAAATTTATTTGTCGCAGGAACAGTGTCGGTGGAACACTGTACAGATGGTGGACATTGTTTATATCTTGACACTTTGCGGTCATTAGTTTTGGCTCGTGTACTCAGGAAAAATACTCGGACAGATGAACAAACTGCCTTCTATTTGCCTCTGAATTTACGTTGGATGATAAGACAAGAGTTTTATTACTCCTGGTTTCAGTTTTGCTTACTTTTTGTATTTACACTACAGACTCTTGTATGTAGTTTTAATGTTATATTTTTACTTTGTGTGGTCAAAGTTTTCCTATTTTGTTGTTGTTTGTTAGATTATGTTACAGACGTTTCGTTCTTTTAATTTCTGATTGTTTAAAAAACTGAGTGTATGTTCAGTTTAAGCTAAAACTATTTTTTTTCTTTACTTTTAGTTGAATAAATATTGTTAAATAAATTTTTCAGTTAAGAAATTATTTTTTCTGTTCAGTTTCGCTCACAGTGCAGTTATTGCTACTAATATTTTTCTTCAATTATAGATTGGCATATTTAATTTAGTATAACTAAGCTTGTTCTAATCATAATAATTCATAGACCCCTCTAATATATAGTTGAAATTATTTATGTATAAACTCCTATAGAGGTAGGTGATCTCCAAATCGTACAATTTTTTTTCTTATTCCTCCTTTATTCTCTTTATTACGAAAAATAACTATACAAATTTTAAGCCATCAAATAATTAATCTGCTTGGTTAAAAAATCAAAACTGTTACAGAATTAATCAAATTCAAAATATGTTATTTTACCTTTATATTTAAGGTAAGATTTGACACACAGTTTATGCATTTCTGACACATGGAATTAAGTGACATTTGTAAGTTTAATTTCATTTTCATCATGACAATATAGTGACCAAACTGGACATACTGTTAGATATTAAAACCACACAGAAATCCACCAGAATATGAATATTTGTGGTGTCACCGACATTTAATATTGGTTTTATTGTGCTGTGGTTTCTCCTTGATTAAATTTAGAAACCACATTAAATCAGTTGTGGGCTCTCAATGAAAGTATTTGGAGCATTGTGTTTCAAATAAATAAACAAATAATGCTATTCCCTGTTCTAAATAAACCAGATATTTTTCAACTGTTAGGTTAAAAAATAATTAAGTTTTGCCTATGGAATTATGTAGAAATGTTATGTAATATGATTCCTTTTGTACTGTCAAATATTTATTCAGCTGTTTTATTTAAGACTGTTTTGTTTATGTATGTAATGTTTACAGTTTTGTGCAATTCTCTCATGTAAAATGTAGCTGACTATTAAGTTGAATAAAACCATATAAATTTGGTTTCTAAACATTTCTTTTCATAACAATTTATTCAACTTAATCTTTTAACTATATTATTACAAGTTCTTCTATACAAGTTGTATTCTATCTTTTCTATTCAAGTTTATTCCAAGAAATCTAAATGGATAAATTCTTCAAGCCGGAGCGCCTATCTTTAGACCCTAATGATCCCCATTCTGATCGTCAGTGGAAACATTGGAAAACCACTTTCAAGAATTTCGTGGAAGAAATATGTGCTGCAGAAGATGATCTACTAAAACTTCTAACTAATTTTGTGGACTACAACATACATGAAATAATCTCAGAGGCTGATTCTTATACCGAAGCTATATCTATTCTTGACAAACTCTTTATAAAGCCTACTAATGAGGTATATTCACGTCATCAACTGGCCACTAAAAGACAGGAACCTGGAGAAAATATTGATCAGTATCTTCGAAAACTAAAAGAACTTAGTAAAGCATGCAACTTTAAATCTGTCACTGCTAATGAAAATCGCAACGAGTACATAAGAGACGCTTTCATTCGAGGACTAATATCACAGTCCATTCGACAAAGACTTCTTGAAAATCTAACTTTGACTCTTGAAGAAGCTTATAATCAAGCCATTACCTTGGAATCAGCTGAAAATCAGGCGGTTTCATATATTTCAAGCCCTTGTAACTCTATATCTCAGTCAACTCCTAAAGATGTTGATGTTACTGATACAAATGTTTCTCAGGCAGCTTCTGATTCGTCTTCACACCAATTATCCTCGATAAGAAGAGAAAAATGTTTCTTTTGTGGACGGTCACGACACTCTCGAGCCAACTGTCCTGCCAAAGACTCAGTTTGTAATATTTGTGACAAGAAAGGCCATTGGGCAACAGTTTGCAATTCTCGCAACCAAAGTAGGACATTTAAGGGTAAAACAACTCAAAGTGATAAGACAGAAATAAACTCAATGTCTTCTTCTCTTGTTGCTGCCTCACAAAAATGTCTTTCAAAAGCTACAGTGTCACTGATGTTAAACGGCAAACCAGTAGATGCACTCATTGATACTGGGAGTTCCGACAGTTTTATATCTGAAGCTACTGTGAAAAGATTCAATATTTCTAAATACCCAACAAAGCATGAAATATCGATGGCATCAACAAGTCATGTTTCATCAACTCTTGGCCACTGTATTGTTGACATGGTGTGCGATGGCCACGAATACCCACTGACAAAGCTGCTCATCTTAACTGATTTATGTGCCGATGTTGTAATTGGACATGACATCCTTCGGCAACATTCTGCTGTGGAGCTGAATTTCGGTGGTAAACGCCCACCCTTCAATGTTTGCAATCTACTTAGGGCTAAAGTATCACCACCACCACTGTTTGATAATCTAACTAATGACGTCAAGCCTGTAGCCATCAAGTCCCGCCGCTACTCTGAAGATGATAGTAAGTTCATAAAAAGTGAAGTAAGTAGGCTTATATCAGAAGGAATAATTGAACCGAGTAAATCACCTTGGAGAGCACAAGTGATTGTGGTCAACAATGGGCACAAGAGACGTCTCTGTATTGACTACTCTCAAACCATCAATAAATTCACACAGCTTGATGCCTACCCTCTACCTCACATTGAATCATTTGTCTCTAAGCTTGCTCAATACAAAGTGTTCAGTACAATCGATCTGAAGGAGGCATATCACCAAATACCTATTCGGAATGAAGATAAACCATTCACTGCATTTGAAGCTAATGGGAGACTTTACCAATACACTCGAATTCCTTTCGGCGTAACTAATGGTGTGGCGTGTTTTCAAAGAACTATTGATCAGATTATAGAAAATGAAAATCTACTAGACACGTTTGCTTATCTGGACGATGTAACTATTTGTGGTCGTAGCCAAGCAGAACACGATCAAAACCTACAGAGATTCATGGAAGCAACTAAAAAGTATAATCTTACCCTGAACAAAGAAAAATCTAAGTTTTCGTTGACCAGCATTCCAGTTCTGGGGTACATTGTAGAAAACATGTCCATGCGTCCTGATCCTGACCGCCTGCAATCACTCTTGAATTTCCCCGTTCCAACTGATAATGCAAGCCTTAAAAGAGCTCTTGGCATGTTGTCCTATTACGCAAAGTGGATTCCTAAATTCTCTGAAAAGGTTCATTGCCTTACTACAGTCAAATCATTCCCAGTAGGCAATAAAGAAATATTGGCCTTTAAGACATTAAAAGAAGAAATAGCGAACTCCAGTATGTCTGCAGTTGAAGAGAATATTCCATTTACTGTAGAAACAGATGCATCTGAATCAGCTATAGCGGCTACCCTTTCACAAGCTGGAAGGCCAATATGTTTCTTTTCAAGAACCCTAACTAAGAGTGAACAACATCTACCTGCTGTGGAAAAAGAGGCCCTCGCAATATTCGATTCAATACAGAAATGGAGGCATTTCCTGATTGGAAGACGGTTTAAATTAATTACAGACCAGAAATCTGTGTCATATATGTTCAATCAGAAACACGCGGGAAAGGTTAAGAACAACAAGATTTTAAAGTGGCGATTGGAACTAGCACCTTTCTCTTATGACATAGTGTACCGTTCTGGCAAGGAAAACGTAGTAGCAGATGCATTTTCACGAGTTTCATCTTCCATCTCTTGTAGAGATTTCGAAAAACTCCGTAGAATTCATTGTGACATTGGGCATCCTGGAATAGTACGGATGGTTCATTTCTTAAAAAGTAAAAATCTCCCTTACTCTATCGAAGATGTCAGGCGAATGACCGCTTCATGCTCTGTTTGTGCGGAAGTGAAACCTCGGTTCTACCAAAAAACCCCATCAACACTCATCCATGCAATGGCTCCTTTCGAGAGACTTAACATTGATTTTAAGGGGCCAATACCATCTGTGACAAGGAATAAATACATACTCACGGTTGTTGATGAGTTTTCAAGATATCCGTTTGCTATTCCTTGCTCGGACACATCAGCATCTTCTGTCATCAAAGCACTTACATCAATCTTCACCATCTTTGGTATGCCTGCTTTTGTCCACTCCGACCAAGGTTCTGCTTTCATGTCAAAAGAACTGAGTGATTTCTTACACTCTAAAGGAATCGCCACTAGCCGATCTTCACCTTATAACCCTCGAGGTAATTCTCAAGCTGAGCGATATAATGGAACGATTTGGAAGACTGTATCTCTTGTTCTGAGAAACAAGGGACTGAAGACAGAACAGTGGGAGTATGTTTTGCCAGAAGCTTTGCATTGTATACGCTCGTTACTATGTACAGCTACGAATGAGACCCCACATGAACGACTTTTCAAACACCAGAGACGATCATTTTATGGCACCTCTCAACCTCAATGGCTCATGAATCCAGGACCAGTATTAGTGAGAAGGCATGTAAGAAATAACAAATATGAACCTTTAGTGGAACAAGCTCAGCTGATAGAGGCTAATCCAGACTATGCTCGCATCAAGTATAGAGATGGTAGAGAGGCTCTGGTATCGGTGCGACATCTCGCTGTTCCTCCTGAAGCTATCCAACAAGAGGATGAGCCAGTGACTTCGGAAAATCCCAGTCAAGAACTAGATCCTGCTCTTCAAGACCTGAGACGTGAATCAAATCTGCTTCAACCTGAAATTGGGAACTCTATTCAATCTGAAATCGAAACATCCCCTCTGCATGAGACCGTGACCCCTACTTCTGTGAGGGATAACGAAGAATTAAACCTGCGTCGTTCCACTAGAGTCCGAAGACCTCCCACCTATCTAAGGGATTACATTTAAAAAAAAGATGGGGTGAATGTTATGTAATATGATTCCTTTTGTACTGTCAAATATTTATTCAGCTATTTTATTTAAGACTGTTTTGTTTATGTATGTAATGTTTACAGTTTTGTGCAATTCTCTCATGTAAAATGTAGCTGACTATTAAGTTGAATAAAACCATATAAATTTGGTTTCTAAACATTTCTTTTCATAACAAGAACGTAAATGTGTTTTGATTTAATTTCTTTTTACAGTTAAACTCTACATTTTAGGCTGATGAAAACTATTTTAAAATACATATCTTAGTTTTTGTAATCAATGAAAGGGCCGGGAGACCCGAGCAGAGGTTGTGCTTGATTAATAGTAAAAACCATACCTTAAACATACACATGTTAAAGAGTGCAGTACACATTTTTAATCCACTCTCACCCACCACAACTACTGGCATTTTTACCAAATGAGTAAACCCAGAACAGTTCTCAAATGTAGATTGTAAACATCTTTCTCAGTTTTTGGCACCCATGGTAGCCCTTTAAACACTATGAATCAGACAATACAATTTGCAATGAATACCATGTTTTACACATTTGGAACTCCTTTTGGTCAACAAATTGAAGAAATTGAACACATAATGGTTCTACCACATACTCTATTCCCAAGTAAAAAATATAAAAATTATATGCGGTTAACTCCATGTATCCAGTTGACTGAAGCCCAGAGGCATAATAACATTCAACAGTAGAAGGTGACTGGTCTTTGGGGTGGAAAGTTAAGTCTTATCTGGTGGTTGTCTGTTAGGACTGACACCCATTATGATACAATTTGCAACCTAAAGACACCCCCCCCCACAACCCACTCTTACCCCTCCCTATAAGTCTATCTGACAGAGTATATCTTGGTTCATTTCAAAGATGAGTTTATTTTTAACCAAATTTGGATAAAATATTTTTTATATGTATTGATTATTTTAGTTTTTTGTCGGACACTAGGCTGTGATTGTTTTTCACATTACTTCAGGCTAGACCTAGGGGTTGCGGAAATATCACTTAAATAAAATCCATCGGTGATCGGGCATGATTTGAACCTCAGAGAACGAGGTCCTGCGCTCTACCACCATACCAGTTATAGTTACCAGTAGATGTTAAATAAAGTTTTATGTGATCTAACTGATGTCAAAAGGCTAATGAATAATCCAAACATTTAACAATGCCAGTGAAATAAAATCAAAAACTAACTTAAACTCATTTAATCACAGAACAAAACATAACATGTTTATTGTGGTTTGAATTGAATATGTAAATCAAATTTAGTGAAGCAGATTGTTTTGACATAAACTAGGGAACCTATTTTTATTAGTTGATTCAGACGATCCAGAAGAGGCTACACCATCATGGTATTAATTTTTAATATTTTCAATAAAACAAGGGCAGACAACATTCAGGAAATTAAACTATTTTTCATTAAGTTTCGTATAGAATCAATTGAATGGTTTTAGACATTTTTATTTAAGTACAATTTATCATACTGGTATTAATTTGTTTATAGCAAAATATTTTAAAAAATACTGTAGTTAATATAACAATGCTATATATTTTTCTGTATTCCAAAACCAAATTTTGCATCCATAAATCCATAATGCTGTAGTCATATAGTTATCAATTACATTTTATTAATCTCAATTAAATCCAACACATTAAAATACTAACCATTATATCAAAACCCTATCATTGAAAAAAGTTTTATAAATATTTATATGTGTTTAAATACATGTTCTTCACCACTACAACTAGAAATTTATCTAAATATTTATGTTCTAAAAGACTTTTTAATGAATTATTTTAAAGAGTACAGTAATTTGACAAATTGTGCAGTAATTGGGTTATCACAACATAGTTTCTTGCAGGGAATTCCAAAATGTGCAATTAACACACAAGTAAATTACACATGGTATTAATATTTCCCATTGCCTATAAGCTAAATATAGTAAACACAGAATAACTAGACTAAAATAGTATTGATATTTTGTGTGCGGGCTGAATATAACAATTTTTAAGTCCCAAAAAAAGTCGTCCATAGGTATTTAATAATCCACCCTCATAAAAAGATTAAAATGAGAGATTTTAATCTCTTACCAATCACTTTATAGGTTTGTTCATGACAGTCTTTTCAATTTGTTAAGTTGCCCCATTGCTGTGTACTTTTCTTATCACTGGATGTAAATTGAAAAGCTGTTAATGTTATTAAGTCAGGCCTGAGACAAGAAGAAACTCCCATTTTAAAGTTTTAATGTGACAACAATAAATTAACAGAGTTTTCAATTCCCTGTCATTTTAACATAATGGCTTTAATGACTTTCAAGTAGGGCATCTTTTAATTACCATATTTTCTTCTTTTATTAACATTTAAATTGTCTGTGTTTATTTGATAAAATATAATTTTTATTTTTATTTTTAAGTCCCTTACAGAATCTGCTCATTTTATATTACTTTATAAAATTATTAATGTGTGTATGATTATGTCCTAAAATTATTTTACAATTACAAAGTTTTTATTTCGTACAACACTTAGTTTGTACCAATATTTCTGTCTCAATGTCTTTGCTGGCCATATGACTATAAAGTATTTGTCTTTTAATTCCAATGGAGTTTTTTATTTGCATACCAGCCCTCTATTGGCATTTTGGGATGCATTCTTACCAGTAATAACTCTTTTGCATGCTAGGAAATGTTTGGATTTCGCTAATTTACTGATTAAGTTCTACCTGATTCTAGGTTGAAATTGTATAAAACTTTTTTTAGCTGTGATAATTCTACAGGTCTCGTAATTAATGTCATTAATGTGTGTAATTAATGTAATGAATGCAGGTGTGATAATTCTTTATAGGTGAGTCGGTGGCTCAGTCGGTAGCGTCACAGACTTTGGGCCAAAGGCAGCGATATCGTGGGTTCGGATCCTGGTCACTGCCAAAAACATTTTATCAGTACAGTTCACCTTTGTACTGTACCGGCTCACTCCTTGCTTTGCTGGAAACGTTCCACGCACGGGCATTTAGTCTATGTGGACGGGCAAATGCAAGGTTAAAAGAGGCCGCCAACCTCTTAAAAAAAAAAAAACCATTTGATGATTTAAATCTAAACCTAAGCAAAGCTACTCCAAAATCTATAAAGCAAAAATTAGATTTCAAAATCAAAGAGAATTCCCTCCACTAAGCCTTACAAAATTTTATATTCCCCAGTAGAATTTGTCAGTCCAGTCTTTCTATTTAAGACGTTACGGTTTTTTCTTTGCTGAATGTGTAATTTTGTGTTCCAGAACCTGGGTCTGTTCCTCGGAACGTCCAAGTCAGGCCTCTCAGCTCCAGCACCATGGTGATACAGTGGGACGAACCTGAGACTCCCAACGGTCAAGTCACGGTAAGTGATGAATTTTATGATAAGATTAAGTTTTGTTTAAATAATATCAGTAATATATTTGTTCTTTTGAAAAAACAAAGACTGTGCTTGCAGCCAAGTATTTTAATCATGTGTTGCATTGTACATTTCTATGAGGTATTTATAGTTTTTTTTTTTTTTTGTTTTTTTCAGGCTTTGACTACTATAGCATGATATTACATTTAGTTTGTTTACAGTTAGTTTCTCATTTTTCTTTCATTCAAAAAATGTCTTTAATAAATTTTGTTTGTTGTATTTTTTACTTGATGGACAAAGTCCTTTTATGCCACTTCCATGCTATTGCATATTTTATCCTTGCGAGAAATCTGAACAATTCTAGCAAGCGTGTCAGACAATGGGTTGTTTAAAAACGCTAATAGGATAAAATAGGATAATAATAAGGATAATTAAAATTTTGTTTTACCTTAAATGAAATTTTGTTAATACAATAATATAATTTAAAAGAATTAAAAAATTAAATTAAAAATTTATTTTTAGTTAGTTTGTGTATAGAACTTGTACATACCAGTACACGGTATTGGTTAACCAAACAGAATTTGGACCAAGTCCTGTATTCCATTTTGTCTGGCAGGGTTGGGCCCTTGAGGTAGGTAACCATTCTGGTATTCACCTAAGTTAGGAAAGAAACATTTTAAGTTTTAGAATCTATTTAATTTAACATATGTATGTCTGGTCCACAGGGCTACAAAGTGTACTACACAGAGAACCCTCAGCAACCGATGGCATCGTGGGAGTCTCAGATGGTAGACAACAATCAGCTGACCACCATCAGTGACCTAACACCTCACACCATCTACACTATCAGGGTGCAAGCCTTCACCAGTGTGGGGCCGGGCCCGCTGTCTGCCCCCGTACTGGTCAAGACACAGCAAGGAGGTGAGTCCAAACCATCTACACTATCAGGGTACAAGTCTTCACCAGTGTGGGGCCGGGCCCACTGTCTGCCCCCGTACTGGTCAAGACACAGCAAGGAGGTGAGTCCAAACCATCTACACTATCAGGGTAAAATTCTTCACCAGTGTGGGGCCGGGCCCGCTGTCTGCCCCCGTACTGGTCAAGACACAGCAAGGAGGTGAGTCCAAACCATCTACACTATCAGGGTACAAGTCTTCACCAGTGTGGGGCCGGGCCCGCTGTCAGCCCCCGTACTGGGCAAGACACAGCAAGGAGGTGAGTCCAAACCATCTACACTATCAGGGTACAAGTCTTCACCAGTGTGGGGCCGGGCCCACTCTCTGCCCCCGTACTGGCCAAGACACAGCAAGGAGGTGAGTCCAAACTATCTACACTATCAGGGTACAAGTCTTCACCAGTGTGGGGCCGGGCCCACTGTCTGCCCCCGTACTGGTCAAGACACAGCAAGGAGGTGAGTCCAAACCATCTACACTATCAGGGTACAAGTCTTCACCAGTGTGGGGCCGGGCCCACTGTCTGCCCCCGTACTGGTCAAGACACAGCAAGGAGGTGAGTCCAAACCATCTACACTATCAGGGTGCAAGCCTTCACCAGTGTGGGGCCGGGCCCGCTGTCTGCCCCCGTACTGGTCAAGACACAGCAAGAAGGTGAGTCCAAACCATGTACACTATTAGGGTACAAGCCTTCACCACTGTGGGGCCGGGCCCGCTGTCTGCCCCCGTACTGGTCAAGACACAGCAACGAGGTGAGTCCAAACCATCTACACTATTAGGCTACAAGCCTTCACCACTGTGGGGCCGGGCCCGCTGTTTGCCCCCGTACTGGTCAAGACACAGCAACGAGGTGAGTCCAAACCATCTACACTATTAGGCTACAAGCCTTCACTAGTGTGGGGCCGGGCCTGCTGTCTGCCCCCGTACTGGTTAAGACACAGCAAGGAGGTGAGTCCACATCCTCCTTCCTCTAGGCTCTCAGGACTGTTTTACAAATTACTTTTGGATAGTTCTAGAAGGTCGCGTAATTTCGTAATTATCACTGAACTGAAGTTATTGGGGATTTATTTTCTATAACTAGATTACCTTTGTAACCACGTTCACACTCTGTGTGCAGTATAAATGTGTCTGTACCATCATATTTACTGAGTCAGAATCCATCTATTCATTCAGCACCAACTGTGGTTTCAGATGGAGTTTCACTGCTAGACGTTTGGCTTTGCTATGAAGTAGCATCCCTATTGTCGGGACCACGTAAGTTTGCAGTTGGTGGCAGCCAATCACAAGACAAGGCTAGTGCGACGTTGCCACATCGCCCGTTGACAACACTAATTAAAATATACTAAGCAATATTAAATTTAGCTGGTACTAACAGATTTGGCAACACCGCACGGTTCTCATTGGTTCATTCAAAACCAAATGGTAAATAGGCTCCTCCCTCAACTGCAAACTTACGTGGTCCCGACAATAGTGAAACTGAGACTATAAGTCCAGGGTGGATATCCACTGATGATATAATGTGACTACAAGGCCGAAACATCTGACAGTGAACTTTATTTGACAATGTGGATGGCACTGAAAAAAATCTTTGTAGAGAGAATGAAAAAGTATAGCACTCGTTGATCAGAAATTTCTCCATTATAACTTACACATCAGAATAATATTTACCTCATTCTCATTTTAATAAATGTATAGATCTATTCACAGTCCTTCCAAGCAGTCATGCTAATCGTATCAAGAGTATTTTATTGATAGTGATAAAATTGCAAATTTTACCTTATCATTTTACCGTAACTGTAAAAAATCTCCAACGAAGCCTGGAGCATTTTAAGTTAAAAAGGAAAAACAATATGGCTACCTCTCAGGCCCGCTTTTATAAACGGGCAGACTGGGCATATGCCCAGGGGCGCCGGTGGTTGAGGAGCGCCCACCAGGCGCCCCCTAACCACTACCCGCCCGCACTAGAAAATAATGGAGCTGATTTTGGGTTTGCCCAGGGATACACTGACCCTTAACGTGGCCCTGCTACCTCTCTATTTAATGCATTTAATTATTTACTATTGTTTTTATAATGAAATCTTTTAGATATAGAGATGTATTCTACTCCTCCACTTCCTAATTCTGTTGAAAAGAAATATATTACTTTCAATTAATTGCATCAATGATGGTGGTCTTTATCCAAATGTTAACTCTTGGAACCTTTTTTCAGTTCCTAGTCAGCCACAGAACTTGATCACGACGGATGTTGGGGAGACTTCTGTGTCGCTTCAGTGGAGTAAACCCTCTCACTCGGGTGAGAACATTGTGAGCTATGAACTCTACTGGAATGACACTTACGCAAAGGTCAGTATTTGCAAACTCATTTAGTGAAACCATCAGTTTTACCATGAACTTAAGCTGCATATCATGTCTCCCTTAATTTTTTTTTTTTGTATAGTTTTTGTTTTACCTCCATTATTTATCTTATGACTTCTTTAAATAATCCAAATTGTTCCCCTATTTTTGCAGTACAAAATTGTGTCTGAAACCATTTTCTTGGAAATATTCTTTATTCCATGTGATCACGTGGCATCCGAGATTGATTTTTTGTAAATAAGCAAGTTCTCAAAGAGTAATCAAACTAACGATGAAAAGGACATTTAAATGTAATTAATTTAATTCATCTACCCAAAATAATTTAAATATTAATGGTGATCAATCAATAAAATTGTACTTTCCAATTAAAACCACAACTGAATTTACTCAACCCTCATAGCCTCTTCCAAACATCATTACTTATGATCTTATTCCCATAATCAATAACAATAATAATAATACCCCTGCAGGGTTTTAATCTGAAAGCAATTCTTCTCACCTTCCATCGTAATTTCCTTCTTCTGTTCCTGCTCCTACAGGATGCATCTTACATGCTCCATATTACATACATTATTATCACATTTCAGGAGAAACACCATCGTCGGATACCTATCTCGGAGAGTTACACTTTGATCGGTCTCTATCCCAACACTCTCTACTACATCTGGCTAGCAGCGAGGTCACAGCGAGGGGAGGGGGCAACTACCCCTCCTATCCCCGTCCGCACCAAGCAGTACGGTAAGTGGAGGGGAGGTAGGCTACATGTTGCACTGCATGCCCGCTGCCATCCTAACCTAACAAATTGTAATTTGATATAAAATCGGGAAACGTTTAGAAAAACTTTTTATGGAATACTTGATGGGCTCTTGATAGGGTGAAGAGTAGGCCTACCCACTGCTCTGTTGCTGGTAGTAGGGTACAACAAGATTACAGTATATAGGATGGAACATAGAATATTATATGCTTGCAAGTATTTATTTGCTGAGAAAAGTTGTTAAACAATCTCAACTTTCTTTAAGTTTGTGATTTTAATGAATTTGTTACGGATAATCTAAATCAAACACTTGCCATCATGATTCATGAACTAAAGACAATTTGGGATGGTTTATCTTCATAATCAATCATCCAAATTAGTCACTTTTGAGATTTTTTTAAATAAATTTGTTTAAATTCTGTAAGGTTAGGATGGCAGCGCAATTACTGTGTATATAAAGTTGCCGGTAAGGTAATACCATCTCACGATGTTTTATTTGAAGGTTTCTGCACAGCAGTCCCCTTCGCACACCCGTTAGGCAATGTTTCTGTTTTTAATTTTTGTTTTTGCATTGTGATGCACAGTTTGTTTGGTTTTTAGCTGCCCAGTTTGATTTCAGAGTGATTATTGACTGCGTGGAGTGTGACTAACAACTTTTCTCTTTCAGCATTTCATCGTCCCAATCAGATACAATGGATGCAGGGTGTTACTGCTAACAGAAAATAATTTGTATTTGTCGTAGGTATTTTATGTTAATGTCCAAATACTTGAAATAAAAATCCATACTGAAATTGTATGGAAATGCTATCTTTTCTACAAATTTAATAATATACTTTTAATGTTATCGATCATTTTGAAAATCATAAGAACTCAGAACATTCTAATGTTGTTTTATGGATTATTCAGCTTGAGAGATTAATTTTTATTTTTTTTTATTCACAATAATATTCAATAAAATATAATTAAAATCTGCAACAATAAATAAATGTAAAAAATACTCACTTTTTCTCATTTGAAAAAAAACTATATTTTCTCAAAGTTTATCACAGTAATTAATTTACAGTTTTATGTCCTCCCAAAGCAGTAGGATATGGGCTATAATGTTATAATCAATATGTAACATTTATCTACACCCAATAAAAATTTTATTGGATGCACAATTTTCGAAATGCCAAAAAATGTCAAATGTATTTCACATTTTAACTGTGGTATGGGATCAAATTAGGTATTTCACCATTGACTTAAAAACTGTATTTTTATTTACTATTATTTATAATTTTGATTTTCCTTTTACTTTATTTTACGTTTATTTGGACTCCACCACTGGTGGTCCAAGTTTTTTTTCTCTATGATGGCATGGGGAGGGGATGTTTACAGTGCCGGGGGCCCCGCCTCAGAACGTGAGTGGATTGGCAGAGGGCCCCACCAGCATCAGAGTGTCTTGGCGGCCGCCCCCCGCCGAGCGGAGCAATGGCCACATAGTGTACTACAAGCTGCACTACGTAGAGGCGGGACGCAGCGATTCTGAAGCAACCGAGGTCAAACTGAACACAACCTCGTTTCTAATCGACGAGCTCAAGCGATGGACCGACTACCGTATCTGGGTATTGGCCGGCACGAGTGTTGGTGACGGTCCGCCCAGCTACCCCATCAATGTCCGCACTCACGAAGACGGTACGCTACGAAACTCTTTCCAACTTTCTCCCCTCGTCCTTCCCAACCTGGGTGTGGTTGATTCTTCTCATCCTGTCCAGCTTCTCCACTCTGTCATACGGGTTATTGCATGAAAAAAGTTTGTAAACAGAACAAATTCTAAATAATGTTTTTCAACATAAAATACAGTAATTTTGGTGATTCTTGTCGTGTTTAGGATACCTCGGTTTGATAATTTGGAATTTTTATATTACATAAAAATTCACTTTACATAGTACAGGTTTAATGCTACTTTAATTGCATTTCACTAGACAATTAAGTTTAGATGGATATTCAAACCATTTCATTACAGTAAATATGTGGCTTTGTTTGTGTACTCATGTAATTTTCAGTCAGAACGTAAATCCTAACCATGATAAAAGGAACAAAATAAAGATTTATACTACCGTAGTAAGTTGTGACAGCCACTATAACATTATCATAAAAGCATGAAACACTTGCTTAAGGCTTTTTGAGGGATTCTGAAAATATTATTGGGCCTCATTTGTTTATTTATTATTAGCTTAGCTCTGCAGAAGTCGTATCAGAAAAACAATTAAAGGAATAATATCTGTCTGATTTAAAAGTTTGGCAGATTGTTCAGATACTTCATAGAGTAATCTAAACCAACATGAGTTATGTATAAATACATTTTAGAGATTTGACTACTTCAACCACACTCAGGTAATCTCTGTACAGAGAACCAAAAACATTAAAAAAACACATGGACTTTTGTAAAAACTCAGAGTTCTAGCTAAATCTTCTGCTGCCAAGCTTACAGTCAGATCCAATAATCTTTTTATTTGCCACAACATACAATGGGTATTGACGTGGTCTTAATTTACTGCCATTAACCACTAAAAACCAATGTATTCTTTCTCAAGCTGTGTTCGTGTGACTTTGCAGTTTCACACTTCTAGTATCTTTACAGAGATTATCCTTGACTATACGTATATTAAATAAGGATGTTCATATAGTATTTCTCATTGCCCATGCTATATCATACTTGTCTCTATTTCAGTGAAGAACCAATTCTTGCAAGGTTGAATTAAAGTTGATTATAAAAGAATTATAAAAATACTTGCTCGTCCTCTACAAATTGTTTAAAATTCCCATGTGTAAGTAAATATAAGTAAAAAAAAAGATTTCTTGTTCTTTTAATTCAGAAAAGCAATTAGTGCCCATTTCCTTTTTTTCATGTTTAAACTATGGTGCCTAATGACTGGTGTTAATCTTATTCATTTGGCTCGTATCCATGTTCCTTAAAATGTAATATTTTTAACTTTTTCATTCCTAAACATAGACCATTTTTAGTGGGAACTGGACCATGTTATCAAAACTTATACTGGATTCCTTTTCATCAATGCTTCATGTAATCGAATTTTGTAAGTGCTATAAAAAGATTAAAACCAAACCACTTTTTGGATATTTTTGCAATGGGTGATGTGACTTTTTCATTGGTTTTTGTGACCAAGCAGCACACTTTTTCGTGCCGTTTTGGTCGAGGATTTTTGTAATTCACATGTTTTACTGACATTTTTCCTGTGCTTTTTGTATGTGCCGTCTATAGTCGACTAATCCAGTTTTTTCTCAGCGGCTGAGGGATCCTGCTCTTCAGATGGTTTTTGACCTTTTTGCACAGATTTAGTATTTTTGTCACACCACTGCTTATTTTTCGTGTCACACACACTCACGTATTTATTATAAACGCACTGAATGTGTAAATAATTACGATGTTATTTTTGTACTAAATTGGATATCACTTTTGGATTTTTCACTTTTTCACTGAGCACTCGTATTTTAGTGCATGTCACTACCCCTCACACCCCTTCCCTAATTACTCGTATGTTTGAATGTATGTACGTAAGTAAGCACAGCACTTCATTTAATGTGTACTCACCAATGCAGTTTCACATGTTTAAATTTACCTTTAGTCTAACTTTGAACCAATAGTAAGTATTGTTACCTACATAGACATAAACTTCTAGAACTGTTAGAACAAATTATAGAAACTAGTTTTAAAGTAAGTAGGAAAACAGGTATGATAAGTGAATTATCTGTTTCTTTCTAACAAATCTTTGAGGATTTATTTTTTAAATCGCTGGTTTAAAAACAATCTATGCGAAAAAGTTAAGTAAAAACATATTTTGAATCGCTCTGATTTTTAATTTTACCATAATATTATGTTTCATATTCTAATATATTTTTGGGGTTTTTGCTCTCAATGAATATTTTTTTATGATTGTAGTTTTAAAAGTGATACAAAGATTATCATTTGAATACCAATACCAATTTATATCATGTATCTTTTGCGGCGGCTGCATGAACAAAAAAGTAAAATCAGTGTAAAGATTGAAAAGAGTTTGCTAAAAGTTGTATTTAATAATATAGCATTTTATATGTAATTAAACATTACAAGCTTTTTCCTTTAAAAGGGTGATTGAACTTTTGTAAAGGTAAAATAGAGTATTTAGTCTTTATTTTCAGTTCTTATAGTTTCTGGTAGGTTAATTTTTTCTATATTTTCGTTGTAAATATTATTTTTACCGTAATAGCTTTTGATAAGTTTATTTTCAAATCAGGTAAGACTTTATTTTCAATATTGTGCATTGTATTATTTTGCTCTTTATTATTATAACTGTTTGTCATTATTTTGAATTTGAATACCAATTACATATTTTTATATGAAGCCAAGTTTCCTTACCCTAAACATTCTATGTAGGTCTATAGGTAAAACTTTTTGACTTGTTTACAGTTATCCTTTGTTAGTAAGCCCCCTTTTTGCTATTTTGAAAAGCATTTTTCTGGTTGAACCAACTAGCTGTTCTCATTAAACCTTCAGTAGGAACTACCTATATTTCAACCTTACTTCCTTGTGTGAAGAAAACCTTTTTGCCACAGAAAATCCCCATTAGGCTTTTGTGGCACTTTTTCCACAATGCAAAGATATCCGTAGGCTTTTGGACGAGTTCAAGCTTTTTGGCATTTTTGTAGGTGCCACTTTTTGAGTGTGTTTTGGCCACTAAGGTGTGACGCTTTTTAATTTTGAACAGGGATTTCAGAGAACTCCAAGAACGCAGTACTTTTTGACGGACACTTTTTGCATTTTTCATAGAGGTATTTCATACCTCTGTGTTGATGTTATTTTTATACAAAAGATTTTTCTGTGTCCAAATTTTAAGAACATTTTTCTTTTTTCTCTTTCCTGCAAATTTTTTGACAAACTGTTTGTGGATCAGCCAACAAGAGTAAGTATTCATCACTGACTGTGTAGACGGGGATTAGCCCTGAATCTGTCCTCAGTTTGTAGTTTAGACGTTTTACCAGCTTTGACGTTTGATTTTTGCCTTCCTAACCTCTATCTTTGAATGTGTGGGATTTACTATGAGCGTTTTCGTGTTGGTATTCAAATGTTTTATAGACTAACCAGTAAACGATTTTATACCTAAGATATAGCGTATTAGGTTATGTTTTTAATGAACAGTAGATAGATATTTTAATTTGAACAGTATAATATTCAATTAGATTAATGAATTCATTTTCAATTCAGAATCTTCAATATCAAGTATTGTAAAGTCAGGTTTAGTTTTCGCAGTCCTCGCACCACTCTGAGATGCCGACTAAGATATTTGTTCTGGGTTTCCAGTTCCCGGAGATCCACAGGATGTCAAGGTACAAGCCATCAACTCCACAGCGATCCATGTTTCCTGGAAACCTCCTGCGGAGAAGGAGAGGAACGGGATCATCCGGGGATATCACATCCACGTCCAGGAGACTAAGGAGGAGGTATCAGGCATCCTCAATTGTAAAATGTGTTTTCTATGTTTTTCCCCGTTACTCTTAGGAATAAATAATATAAATGTAAATTATTGATGATTATGTCTGGTTAGAATTTAATGATTAAAATTTCAGTTAGCTTTCAAAAAAAAAAGGATATAAATAAATGATTGATGATAGATTACTATGCTTACCCAAAGCTATATAATATTTTATCCATAAAATATAATTAGTTTAAAGATCAAATACAACCTGCCGCAGCAATCCTGCCGACTAAGCTAATTTCCATTTGTTTGAATTGATTTTCAATTAAATCTATTTAAATAATATTAGGTTTAACGAGTACCTAGGTTTGCTGCTACAAGGAAATTAATAAATTGTGGTTTTTAGTAAAATATTAATAGGTAGCTAAATAATTATTAAAATAAATAAATTTGCCAAGTTTGACCAAAATATCCATAAACAAGCAAACTACAACATTTTACAATATTCTCCATAAGAATAACATGTGAATTTTAAATTTACAACTTTTAGAATTTTCTTTTGTTACCAAAATAATTGTACAAAAACCCCTTGATATACTAAATTATTTGTTTTTAAGCTCTTTAAAAGGGTCTACAGAGAAATTGGAAAATTTTGTTTTTTGAGAGTCGAAAATGAGAAAAACATTTTTTCTCTTTTTTCCCCCATAAACTTTTTCACATATTCCCCATAAACCCCCAAAAAACTTGGGTTTATGGGGTAAATAAAAGGGTTTTCTCATTTTTGACCCTCAAAAAAAATTTTCCTATTTCTCTCTTGACCTTTTTAAAGAGCTTAAAAAACAAATAATTTAGTATATCAAGGGGGTTCAGCCTTTCCCTGGATATTTAAATTCCAAAAGCTTTAAAGTGGAAAGAAATGTGCAAAAATAAGTTTTTTTTATAGAAAATTTTTAAAAAATATTTTTTAGGGCAAGAGTTTGCTGAACGAGCCAATGAGGTTTGACGTGCTGGACGGAGCTGCCTTGCAACTCAACATCTCAGGGTTGCAACCCGACACCAAGTACTCTGTACAGGTGGCAGCACTGACTCGCAAGGGTGACGGAGACAGGAGTCAGCCTGTCAGTGTCAAGACGCCCGGTGGAGTACCCAACAGACCAACTGTCAACCTCAAGTAAGTACTTGCTGGAGTATCTCTTAAAAAAAAACATAGAAATTCATTGTCAAAAAGATGTATAAAAAGGTCTTGAATTTAAGAATCAAGAATCAATATTTTATTCCATTAGACATGTACATGCATTTGGATACGTCAATAAAGTTGATTACAAAAACACAAGTCAAAGATAAACAGTACATAACAAATAAGGCATAAACAAAAAAATCAAATAAATTTAATTTACTGTTCTCAATTCATGAATTTCATGATGGGTTGATAATTAAAGTTATTGTTTGTATCTTTATATTGTGGGGTGTTGTTCTAATAGGGTAGTGTTGATTTTTATTATTCATTTAAAATTCTTTGTTTGTACTGTCAAAATATAAGGGAAGCGAGCTGGTCTAGTGGTAAGAGTGCGGACCCAGAGGCCCGGGGTTCAAATCTTGCCAAATCACCAATGGATTTTATCTAAATGATAATGCCGCAACCCCTGTCAAGCCTGAAGTGATGTGAAAAACAATCCCAAACTCGTGCCTAGCATCCTTAGAAAAAAAAAAAACTGTCAAAAATCTGTAATTTCAATGAGTTTTTGACAATTTAAAAACATGTCCAGTACTTCACAGCATCTCACCCACAGCACCACCAATAACCCATTGGTACTTGAGTAATTCCTTGGATCTTACCTGCCTGGACTAGTGTTGCATTTAGGTTTTAGCAGATAGTGACCTGGTGACTCAGTTGCCTAAGGCATTGCAATAACCAGTGTAGGTCTCAGGACTTTTTTTTAAATCTATCTTACTAAAGTGTGGCTAACAACAAGTTGGAGGGCCTACCTTGAATAAACTGCCGTGTTGACAGCATTAGTAAATTTTGTTGAGTATTTCACATACCGTAACTAAGTTTCGCTTCTTTTTACACTAGTGTGAATAAGGCTGAAACGTATTTTCCATTTGCCTTTATTTTGTTCAAATATGGACATATTGTGTTAAAAATCATATGAACCTTCAATTAAAACAAACATCGATAAAAAAATCATTAAAAAATTTGTAAAAGGGTGTAAAAAATTAAACCTTGCTACATTTTACATGTGTTCCAGAATTTTAGAGAGAGAACCAGAAGTTAGCATAGAGCTGGAATGGAGCCGTCCCACCATGACTTACGGAGAGTTGGAAGGCTACAGACTGCGATACGGAGTCAAGGAGACACCCCTCAAAGAGGAGCTGATGAAGGAAACGTCCTACAAAATTAACCAACTAGGTATTGTTTATACTCGAGCATTTATAGAAGTAGACAGTCCATTCCCATGTTAAAGGAGCAGCCAGTTTTTGAATGAATATAAAAATGACCGTAGTTGATTTGAGCCATCAACAGATTGTGCCGTCTGTCTGTGCTCACAAAAAAAATCCACCCACATTTTAACCAAGTCAAACAGAAGAGACAACTTATTGTAAGCATCTTCTATGACATATCCAAACAAAGTATCAAAAATTAAGGGAGAAAATGAAAATATAATTCTAACTCCAACATTAGCTGCACTCTATGGGTCACTCATTCAAGGCCATAACTACACCTACTAACTAGTTTGATGTCTACTGAAGTATGCAAAAGTCAATTCCAGAACTCTCTAAATTCAATCGCCCATAATGATTTGTTGATAAAACTAATATAACAAACATTTAAACTATTAATTCAACTTTCTAATTAAAATCCGTCATACAGCTTTATACATATTCACTGTATTTTCATCAATTTAGGTAAATAGAAGCATGGACTTAAGAGTTGAAAACAGTGATTTAGTATCCTATCAGATAGATAACCTGGTGATGAAATTTAAATTCTACTCAGAAATTAGGCCCAATTGAAATTAATGGCAGCATGTGATTAAATTCTAGTTCACAGGCACACCACCAGTTCTATAAATTTTAAAACTGCTGGACTTAGAATGTTTGTCAAATACACAATTTTAATTTAAAATCATTTTATTCATCTTCAATCTAGTTACTGGTGTTTGTTACATGTTCCTTTTCAAAACTTGGTACATTATACTGTATGTCTCTAATACGTGTCTACTTGTTGAGATCCTGTCCAACTGCGGCCTGAGAATTAATCCAAAACCTGTCGCCTATATAAATTTTCATTGAGAGGAGGTTAAACTAATAATGTAGACTGACATAAAAAAACTCCTATAAGTTCAATGTAGAATCTGATAAACTTACATACACTAGACGTTCTATGGTTAGGAAGTCCAACTTTGAAAGATACTTCCCTGTTGAGGAAAGGAGCAATAATTGTGAATGCTCTTCCAGGCCGTAGTCAAGCCAAAAAGTATGCCTGAAAAATGTAAAGATGTTTGAAGCCATGACCAGTAATAACAAAAACTGTTTAAATATACCCAAGGTCTTGGGAGTTCACCAGGTATCAATTATTGATTTTCGGCCTAGAATTCCTCCATCAAGCAATTAGCGTTGGACAGGTTGCTCTAGACAAGGACTGGAAACAATAAATTGTATAGGCCAGAATCATTAACATTGGTACACCTGCACTTTAAGTTTTATGTTAAAACATTTTAATTTTGATTTCAGAACGTGGGGTGGAGTATGAGTTCAGGATCGCTGGCAAGAACGCCATAGGGTTTGGTCAGGAGACAATCAAATACCTGTTGACGCCCGAGGGACCCCCTACTGGACCTCCTGCCAACCTCTCACACCACTTTCAGGTCTCACATTTTAAACTGTTTACATTTCCATCCAAAATTAAAGTTTTTATTTATAAATTTACTGCCAGATCTATAATAAATTATATTACGTGCTTAAGACACACCAAGGGATATTGTCAAATCTGATGATCTATTATTGTTTCAGATTTTCAGTGTCCTTAGTTAATTATTTTTTGGCAATTGTTGGTTATTTAAAATATGTTTTTCTCTTACAAATTTATTTACTTGATATTTAGGATATTTGTGTATATTTAATTGATCTGTTAGATGTTGGGTATTTTAATGACAGCTATAACATCTAACTGCAAAAAACATGACTTTGTATTTATCTTCAAGTTCGATTGTGAATAATTTTGTTATCCGTTTGTAAAGGTAACAATATAATTATCACTCTTCTATTTTTATCAATAAAAATCAGGGTGTACCTCACCACCGTGTGCACATTTCACCTATATAATCTGTGAATGATTTAGATAACGGTTATTCCTTAAACTGGGGACTATTTCTTAAAGAAACAGCTCTCTTTAAAAATCTATCTATGAAGTCTGATACACAAGAAAGATCACAGCGCATAACGCTGATATTTGATCCCAGTACATGACTCATTCAATATCAATAATATTTTAAACGGCCACCTGAATTTCCCTATATACTATGTATGAATTATTTCACTACAACTTTCATTAAACTCCCAGTTACCCATGTAGTATGTACGTCAGGTATTTTCACTGGTAGAAACTGACTGTTACCGGTTTTTTCAGACGCCTGACGTTGTATGTGTGACGTGGGAACAGCCTTCCAGAATACACCGGAACGGACAGATCACTCATTACGATGTTCAGTTCCACAAGAAGAGCGATCAATCTACTGTAATGGATAGGAACACCACTGCGACTAAGGTGAACACATACACTATACCAATAAGCATTAGCAGCTTTAGCCTAATTTGTTCATTATAGTGGTTGAAATTACCTGGTGGCCTTAACTTTGCTTTGGTAAATAAGTAATGTTTTATTTCATCATCCGGTAAAATGTCAAAATGGGAAATATTTCTCATGGTGGAGTTTGTCAAAGGCTTAGTGCTATAAAAAAAAATATAAACATGGCACAAAACACTGAAAATACACGGAACAAAACATTTAACACTGGTTGTCCAGACTGTAAAAATACCTGTGGTCTGAAATGCTTGGGACCAGATTTTGGGTCAAGGAATATATTAAGGACCAAGAGAAAATCATAAGAAAAAATATAACAATTAAATACAAGGTGAAACTACGACAGGTTTACAAAACGTTTATTTTCAAATGTTTTCAACTATTTTTAGTTTATTGAATTTTATTTTATGATTAGCAGATTGTTAAAATGGAGAGTGAAAGTGAAGCAGATAGGGACAGGAAGCAGAGGGTATCCCACTCCCACGTTGTGGCTGCCTTTGATGTAGCACTACGTTATATAGAACAACAGTCCGCCTCTTCTGCAGCGGATTTGTCGGTTCTGAGGCGTTGGCGTGATTTTGCTTTAAAAGAGGACTTAAATATTCAACAAAAAAATAAAACAGACTCTCTGTCATAGTTTAATACAATAGTAATTTGTCTGTTTTGTTCATTACATAGTTCATCTTTTTATTAAATCACTTTTTTATTATTTTCTAGTCTTTTTAAATTCCTAAAAGATCAATTAATTTGCAGATATCATATATTATAAGTAAGTAGATTTTTACTTTGTCAAAGAGTGGATTATTAGTAGGACCTCAATAACTTGAACCTTGATATTTTGATTTTTTAATTTCCTTAAAATCCCCATAAATCACAATGTTAAAAGTACCTCTATAAGTTGAAGGCTTTAAATATTTAACCAAAGGCCCCACTAGAAAAACCGGCCATGCTGCAGCGTGGGCAGTGCAGCACTATGTCACAGTGGTGGATAGTTGTACTAAAATCTTACCATTAAAATCTGACAGCCAGTTTATTTACCTACAACATATGGGATATTGCCATGGTGGAATGGGATATTGCAGTGAATCTATCAACAAATCTATCCACATCATGGATCCTGCAGCATGGCCTGTTTTTCTAGTGGGGCCTTGATTTAACCCCGACAATTCAAATTTGAATGGTTTTCGATCAGTAAAGCCTCCTTAAATAGAATATTCCCGTTATTGAGCCAGAGTCCAAAACCTTAGTATCTCCAATTTTGGTATAATAACCTTCATAACTTGTTCCTCGCTTACTCAAAAAACTTGATAACTCGAATTGTTATCATAATCCCTTCAGATTCGAGATATCGAGGTCCTACTGTACCCTGATGTATATACACTGACAGCAGTAATTTCTCCATGGCATCAATCTAATATCAGTAATGTGTTAAAAATAATACAGTGGAGTTGGCTTAGAAACTTGTTTATATTAGTAGATGCCTGTGTTCATGTTAATGTTTGTTGTTACTTATTTAACTTACATGACAACTCTTTAAGCTACTATTGAATATAAAAAATAAAATAATTTAACTTGTAAGAAACAAAATTTTGTGTGTAAAATCAAATTGTGTCAGATATTTTTTTCTGTTTTAGTTTAACATTTTCTACTGATTTGTTTATATTTTGTGTTTCTTATGTTTAATTTATGATAATTATTGCAATAGGTGGCAAAAAATAACCATACTACCTATTTTATTTATTCATTTGTTTCATAACTGAAACTGTAGAAAATTACAATATACGAGGGTTGTCCGTGAATCAAGGTCTCCATCTAGCTCCCATTGCAACCAAGCAAGCCATTTTAAATCTGAGATCGTCATATTCGCTAATCATTCACTGCTATTGTAGCGTTGCATCCCACTCGCACAACCATAAGCCTTGTTCGTAGTGAACAAACAAGCATCTGGAACAGCTGGGGCTTGTAGTTATTTTATATTAAAGGGTTGCATGAAATATATAGGGTGTGGCTTGTAGACCCTCCAGGCCTACCCATAAGTAAAGCTGTTTAAGCTAGAGCCTAACGTCCTAGGATAGGATATGAAGGAAGGAAAAAAGCTATATTCCTGGTGAAGAATTTTTACTTACCTCTATGTTTCTGTTGATAGGCGGTGTTCTCTAATCTAGAGGAGAGTGCAGACTACATGTTCAGAGTGAGAGGGCACACTCGAGCCGGTGCAGGACCATGGAGTGATCGTGTGCCGGTCACCACAGACCGTGACATCGTACGAGCGCCGATGGGAGTGCGAGCCGTGGCTACGTCAGACCAGAGTGTAGAAGTGTGGTGGGAGACAGTGCCTAGCCGAGGGAAGATCATCGGATATCAGGTGAGTTGATCCAACATGAAAAACATTTTATGGATATTTTTCAACACTAAAATATAAGGGCCCTGAGATTGTGGTGAGAGGGGGGGGGGTTCTTAGATATTGAGATAGTGTGGAAAGAAATATGTTTGGTAAAAGTATTTAGATTGACAGATCCACTTTCATCTGTAAAAAACAGTTTAATGCTATCTAAATTTAGATGACTAACAAACCCCGGGTCAAAAAGAAGACTATTTTTCTCTACTGCTGTGTTTCTTCAGTTACCTTTCTTATGAATTGTCAATCAACAATAGTTTAAAATTTTTTATTTAAACATTGGTAACCAAGATTCAAAGCATTCAAAGCATGGTGTCATTTAAGACAGTGGGAAAAGTTTCCATTTTGTTTAAAAGTTAATGTTTAAATCAAAAAAAGATAATGAACCACCATAGAAACTTGTTAAGATCCTGTAAATGTAAATGTAAATATTATTTAAGATGATGAAATCCTTATTATCACTTTATGGTTTAAGGAACTTCTCCATTCCGATATAATAAAGAGTCATCTACTTCAGAAAAATTCATGTAATAAAATTATCATATTTTGAAATACAGTTCAGTGTCCAAGGATTTTAATGCAACTGAGTTGCTTTTTGTCAGCTGTTCTACACCATGACAGCTGTAGAGGACCTGGACGAGTGGCAGCAGAAGACGGTTGCTCTCACAGAGTCAGCTGATCTGGTAAACCTGGAGAAGTACGCTCAGTACGCCATCGCTGTGGCCGCCCGCACCAAGAATGTGAGTCTTTTTATTGTATTATCACATCATTTATTGTTAGTGCATTTGTGTTTAACAAACTGTGGGAACGATGATGCAATGCACTTACACACAATTTATTACAAAGTTCTCTATTTTTGCTTGGCAAGATTGTTAGATCAATTCAACCATCATTGTGATTACAGGGTTTCTTTGATAAAATTTGTCTCTCAACTACTATTATTTTTAATATTTTTTACACAACTGGCTTTTTTTTATTTTTTGTAAGAGAACGAACCCAATTCAAAACTGAGGTTGTTTTGATACCATCTAACATCACCCTTTTGTCAGGAATTATCAATATCATTAATTAATTAATATTATCACTTGCCATTTCCCATATTATCATTTTGTAGATGAGCATTTTAAACACTTAACTCAGACCATGTATCTAATTAATCAGCAAATTTTTAAATTAATGTGAAAAAACTATTAATCCGTCCACATACCATCAGAAAACAAAGTTAAAGAGTCCACACCATCCAAGTATAACTAAACACTAACCTCTCTAAAAACCCACATTATAACTATTTGTGTGTGTGTTTTGGAGTACTATTTTTACATTAGAACCTAACCTAGCAGCACATTGTGATGTTTGTCTGTAGGGTCTCGGAAGGCTGTCAGAGAAGGTGACAGTCAAGGTCAAGCCAGAAGATGTTCCGTTGAACCTGAGAGCTCATGAGGTCAGCACTCACAGTATGACTCTCTCCTGGGCTCCTCCCATCAGGCTCAACCCTGTCAACTACAAGGTACGTGTCCAACCACGCCTATATAAGCTGCATGGTCCACCTGTATAGAAAATAAAGTACCGGTATAAATAAATTAACACAATATTTGGTACAACTCCAAACATCAGACCAACAACTAATTCAAGCCATTCATCTTTTAAATGCTCAATATAATGGTCTACATTTTTTTTATACTTGTAATCACGAATACTAGAACAGACCCGTTATGGATCATAAACATAAAAAAATATTTTACTGTCCCACCTCAACTTAATAACATGATTTCCAACCTGAACTAAGTAGTGTTAGGTATCTCCTTTACACTAATAGTGATAACAGAGTTTGATATGTTAACCGCTAGATTAGCAACCCACCCAAAGCTATTACCTAAATAAAAAATCTCAAACATATTCTCATTTCAGATATCCTACGATGCAGTCAAGGAGTTTGTTGACTCCCAGGGAATCACTCAGACCCAAGTAGTGCCTCGAAGAACGATTCTGCTCGATACAGATACTCGTTCACACACAATCAACGAACTGTCACCGTTCACAACATACAATGTGAACGTGTCTGCAATCCCGTCCGATCACACGTACCGACCTCCTACCAGGATCACGGTCACCACTCAGATGGCGGCGCCTCAGCCTATGGTCAAACCTGACTTTTACGGGGTTGTCAATGGCGAGGAGATACAGGTAAGTTTTACAGGGAACACTTTCTGTGCAAAGTTGTTTCATTACGTATTTACCATGTCTTCAAATTTCAATTTTAGTAGGACAAGTTTGATGTTTGTAATGTATTGCAATTTTTTTAACACAATGTAAGGATACAATACTATTATTGGCAGTAGTCATAAACAATACAGAGGTTGTGTACAAGAAGAACTTTGACAGCTTAAAGATAAACATTTAACTAAAATGCAAGTGTGTTTATCCTAGAGCTAACTAGATCCAAAACAGCCTCCATTGAGATAGCAATTATCGCTAATTCTGAATGCTTTTAGGCTTTGATAAAAAAAACACCTTCTATTAGCATTAGCCTTAAAATTTCAGCAATACAGTGTCCTAAATAAAATTTTGTAAAGACAATATCTTATCTTAACAAACTAAATCTTTTGATTACGCTTATCTAAATGGTGATTTACTCCTCACTAATAAATTCTTCTACTTGCCAGGTTATTTTACCACAAGCATCAGAAGAGTATGGCCCAATCAGCAATTACTACTTGTGTGTAGTACCTGTTGATAATAAGTTGGGCTTGCATAAACATCCTGATCAATACATACTTGAAGAGGTGGGTTACTAGTATCTTCACTAATCCAGTCAAGTTCTTTGTGTATTTGCTTTAAGATGAATTAATTAATAGAGTGTAGGATGGAGTGAATTATTTTTGTAGCTTTGTCACTGACTGAGATCAGCTGTTTCTTAAGAAAGGGTCGTAATTTTATCAAAAGCACAGTGGTCAAGGACTGTGTCCAGTATCGAATCATCAAACATGCTATATTACCCATAGAATTTTTAAAATCAAAATCTTAATATATTTATTTCTTTCTCAGACAAGCAGACACTATCCCATTATAACTGTATTTATCTAGTACCGGTAGTTTCCCTGTTAAAATTGTGATTAATATGTTAGAGCTAATTATGCTTAAACTTACTTCTCAGAAAGATTGTGTTTAATCCTGATAGAAAGGCAATAAAATGCACAACAGCAAATGCATAGCTGTAGTCAACAAATTCATTATCAAATAAAAAAAACTTAGAATGTGAATCAGAGATACAAGTCACTTTATACTGGTTTCTTAACTTTTTGGTTTTTTCACTTTTACCTATCCACAATCATAGTTACATACCTACCTACCTACCATCCCGCAAATACTCAGAATATTTGATATATTTTTGACTACTTTACAACGCTATTGATTTTTTTTGTTTTAATTAGAACAACCTAATGGTTTCGTTATTTTTTCAGCTGTTCAATAATAGTAAATCAAAACCAAACGAAATAGTGCCTTACATTGCTGCCAGATTTCCACAACGTAACATTCCGTACACATTTCACCTCGGGAGTGGAGACACTTACGATACCTTTGTTAATCGTAAACTCGACCCGACAATGAGTTACCGCATCTTCGTCAGAGCTATTGTCGACACTCCCTATAAGGTAAGCTTCTTTATTTCAGGTCTGCAAAAAGAATATTTTGTTCCAATATCAAACATATAAGTCAAATTTGGGTTATGTCACCACAGCCTATCATTCACCCTAACTCCAAGCAGCAGTTTAACTCTGGTTAAACATTCAAATATATTAGCTGCTACATCGTGTAATGCAAAGCTTTTGGTTTCTGACTACAATATACCACTTGGTAACCTACTGTTTATTAGTTATTTTCCTGTTTAAATTGCGACTGGGCCACATACACCGGAAAATAGATATAAAAATCCATAAAAAATGGAGTACTTTAAAAACATGTATTGTTTACTTAATATACCTAAATATTTAAGCTGTTTATGGTCAATATCTCACTGCTTGTTTCCCACAGCACCTGTTCACATCATCACCGTTCTCGGAACCTCTGTCGCTTAGCATGCGTGAGGTGCCGCCAGGTGACCCTCCGCGCAGACCCAACCCCAATATCCTGACAGACATCTCCGAGGTGTCAGTCAACCGCAACACAGAGGAGGCGGGGATGGTGTGGGTCATTGGACCAATCATAGCGGCTCTCATGCTGTCCATCTGTCTGGTGCTGCTCTTCATCATCAAGAAGTGAGTTGGCGGTGATAAGATTAAGTAAATACAAGTTCTCTGTGATCAAAAGTGTGCGTCGTTTTCATATGGAAAATTGGAAATTTGGACAATGATTCAGGCCTGTAGCATGTGTACTAAACATCAATTTACATCAAGAAATGATCACAATTGTTTATGGGCTGTGATTAAAGTTAATAAATATTTGTATAACTGTGTTAGTCTTTTCCCATCCACACTTATTATTTTTGTGAATTTGTAAAAAATAAGTGTGCATTATAAAGTTAACGAGGATTTTTACATTTTTCAAAATACCATTTTGCGGAATCATCGTTTTACTTCTTTAAAGCTCTATTAACTTGCTTTAGTATTTTCTAAATTTTATCAAAATCCTGTCAAGATTCAAACCCATCCACACAAACATTTTTTGTAGGCCTATATTAGTAGTAGTAGTAGCCTCTGACAAGTTTGTGCATTTCCAGACGCCGCCAGCCATGCAAGTCCCCAGACCAGGCCGCCGTCACCCGACCACTGATGAGTGGGGAGGTCGCTACGAGTCATGCTCCCTCTGATCCTGTAGAGATGAGACGACTCAACTTCCAGACTCCCGCCATGATCTCTCACCCCCCCATCCCCGTCACGGAACTCTCCAATCACATTGAGCGTCTTAAAGCTAATGACAATCTCAAATTTTCTCAGGAATATGAGGTAAGACATTAGCATTTATTAAATTATTAGAGTTACTTGGATATGAATTTCCTGAATGTATATACCTAGTATTTTATGGGCTTGTATTATTTCTTGAATGCTGTTTGAAGTTTTGTTGAGGTTTCTCAGAAGGTCAAAGTTATTAGTATGGATGAAAATAAATAGATTCTTTTGGAATGTGACATTTTATGTACTGTTTGAATAATTGATTTTTTTTATTGATTGATTGATGTTTGAATGCTTGGTTTCAAAAGACAGTAAAACATAGTTTTGGATATAACTAATACCCATTTGCTATTTTGTTAGTATTTTGATTTTAATTCTTTTAAATTATTATTTTATAGGAATGCATGTGTTGTAAAATATTGTAAATAGTATGTATACGGGATGCCTGGTGCATTATCAATGATTAAATTGTATTATATAAAAAAGTAGAACAATTAAATAAATTACTAATATTAAAAAAGAAACAGCTAAAATAGTTTGAAATTAATTAGAACGTAGCTGTCTTATATTTCATAAAGATCCTACTTATCATTTGATTCCCAGGACCATTAATTTAATTAGTTACAAAAAAAGAGCACCGGTAGTTAACACATTTAAACTAGCAAATTACCGTACTAATGTGTGTGGTCATTTGTATGATGGGTCTATGGATTAATTCCCAATCCTGAATTGTAATTCAGAATTGCTTATTTGTAAATACTTTCTCTGAACTAAAAAACACAATCTATTGTCCCTCAGTCTATAGAGACCAGCCAACAGTTTACATGGGACCATTCCAACATGGAGGTGAACAAGCCTAAGAACCGCTACGCCAACGTGATCGCGTACGACCACTCTCGAGTGATCCTGCAGCCAATGGAGGGAGTGTTGGGCAGCGACTACATCAACGCAAACTACTGCGACGGATATCGCAAACACAACGCTTACATCGCCACTCAGGTACAATTTAAATCTAACATCTCTCTGAGAAAGAACTAGCCTATTGGTTGTTTTCTCAATTTCAATGGATAGGTCTAGGAATCAGCCTTACACAGCATTTTAAATTGGTGTAAAACATTGTAAAAAAATTTATGCTATAAGTTTGCTAAAAATCCTGTAATATAAGTACCATATGTGAACACTTATATCTAGTTTAGACTAATGACTCAATTATGTGTACGCCTACACCATGGTCTACTTTATGAACAAAATTACGGTTAGTACTTACTTAGTAATGTGGATACTATGATCATAAATTTTTACTATATATATAATTTGACACAGTATTAGACAATGATTGGCCGATACACAATACTTGAATTTGATTTGAGTTCTTAAGTACTCAGTGTATAGTACAGCTCTATTATTTAAACTTATGTAATACATGCCTACATGATACAGCTATGTATGCTAGAGTTAACTCACCAAATCAGATTGTGTCTTGTATTCAATCAACATTGATATTTTTTTAAATCAACTGTCAAAGAGTGCCTATCTACAGTCTGAAATTCTCGGTAATCTGACACCTCTTGGTACAAGTGGTTGGATATTCAAGGGTCTATGTAATCCTGTACAGGGACCACTGCAGGAGACCACCAGTGACTTCTGGAGGATGTGTTGGGAGGTGAGGACAGCCACTATCGTGATGATGACTAAGCTGGAGGAGAGGACGAGGATCAAGTGTGACCAATACTGGCCGTCCCGTGGCACCGAGACTTACGGAGTCATCACAGTCACGTTGTCTGACGTACAGGAACTGGCTACGTACTGCATCCGCAGCTTCCAGATCACCAGGGTAAGCACAAGGTCCAAAAGGTTCTAAGAATTTCTCATGTGCACTCTGGCACAAAAAATAAACTATACAGGGTGCCTTGTAAATAAACAGCTTAACTATGAGAATTGTTTCATGAGTCAAAATAAGGAGAAAATCGAGAATGAACTTTGGTAAACACTAAAGGTTTTTGAATAAATCAACGAATTCCTGACTGAATTGCTAATCAACAGAAGAGGAATAATGGCCATTTATTATGCCCATTTATGTTTTACAGGTAGGGAGAATTAAGGTTACTTCTGAAATGGCTTTATGGATTGTCCAGGATCATATTTCTTTCTTGCTGACAATAATTTAGGTTATTATTTAATCAAATACGAGTAGAATATTCAATATAGTACCGATGTCTGTAAGTATATATAGTTCTTGAAGTCATTGACTAATTTTCATCTCAAACCCTGTTGGCAGGCTGGACACAGTGACCGTCGTGAGGTGAAGCAGCTGCAGTTCACAGCTTGGCCAGACCACGGTGTCCCTGACCACCCTGCGCCGTTCCTACAGTTCCTGCGCCGGGTGAGAGGCTGCAACCCGCCGGACGCCGGGCCACTGGTGGTACACTGCAGTGCCGGTGTGGGCCGTACTGGGTGCTTCATCATCATTGACTCCATGATTGAGCGCATGCGCCATGAGAAGAGTATCGATATATATGGACACGTCACCTGTTTGAGAGCTCAACGAAATTACATGGTGCAGGTAGGATATTTTATAAGCATAAAATTTCCAGTAAAAAAGTTTAGGAAACCATGGTCTAAAAGGATGGTGAAATGACCAATTGGAATAGTAGCAGTAATGTTTTTATACTCAGATTCATAGCAGCTGCGTAATGACTGGCCTCACCCATGAGCATGAACGACCAATGACCTTAGTGCAAATGAGTGCAAGAAAGTGTTTGAATTCTATTCCATCCAAAAAACAGTAACTAACTATATAGCTTGCGCTGTGTTTCAGTTATTGTGGTCGTAGTAATGCCTGAAAAAACAGTTAGCAGCATTGATCGGAACATGTCCTTTGTAGTACCAAAAGCAGGGCTGCGACAAAAGAACTTGAAATGCCAACAACAATTTATGCAAATTCCAAATTCAAAAAGCAGATCTCAAGCTAATAAATACTAACTGGCTTGAAGTTACTGCTTGTAATGCAGTGTAAACATGATCCATGTTACAATCTAGAAACCCGTGTTATGTTTGCCAGACGGAGGACCAGTACATATTTATCCATGACGCCCTACTGGAAGCTGTGATCTGTGGCAACACTGAGGTTCCGGCCCGCAATCTCCATCAGCACATACAGAAGTTGATGCAGCCAGAAATGGGGGACACCACCACAGGCATGGAGTTGGAGTTCAAGGTCAGTTCAGGAACAACCTCTTTGCGGGAATGGGAATTTTTTTTTTTTATTTAATTTATAAAGATGTAAATTAAGTTGACAATTATCGGTGAGGAATATAGGAATGCCTATTGGTTACTCAGATATTGTTTCAGAGTATTATTGGCTTTCCCTCTACGTATCAGCAGACCTAAGTTAATCTATTATTCTGTGTTATTTATAACAAACCTCTTAGAATTAAAACACTCCAAAGCGAGTAGAAATGAGTAGTTAATTATTACAAATTTTGTGCAACATGGATTTTTAGGACATAGGAAACATTAGGACCTATCTTAAAATTGTGTGTTTTCAAGCTTATTACGGTAAATAATTGCCATTTAGTGAATTCTTTTCCATCCTTTAGTTGGATATGCACCTACTGACACTACTTTAGTTTAAATTTTTATAATGTTTAAATGACACAATTACGTATTCAAATTACTTAAATATGTAATTTTTATAGCTTTGTTTTTCTGTCCCTTTTTTGGTATCTGTAAACTGATCAATACTAAATTACCTACAGAATTTAAACTATTCTCTTCACATTATGGGTAACAAGATTTATCAATTTCAGAAACTGTCGAACATCAAGTGTGATTCTTCTCGCTTTGTATCGGCCAACCAGCCGTGCAACAAGCACAAGAACCGACTGGTGCACATCCTGCCCATAGAGAGCACCAGGGTGTGTCTCACACCATTGCGTAACGTAGAAGGATCAGACTACATCAACGCCAGTTTGATCGACGGATACCGCACACGCGCCGCATACATCGCAACGCAAGGCCCCCTACAGGAGACTGTGGAAGACTTCTGGCGCATGCTTTGGGAACACAACTCCACCATTGTCGTCATGCTCACCAAGCTCAAGGAAATGGGAAGGGTCAGTGTTTTGACATCTCAGGCTGATGTGTCTGTGCCACTTTTGGATACTGATGTCTTACCCTTAAATACCATTTGTAGCAGATATTTTATTAAAAAAGAACATAGTCAAATGAGCCACTCAAAGATTACACTGCAGTTATAAACAATATTTGCTATCTTTTTTGTCCGTGTAGTTGATTAAAAAGTATGATTTAGCTAACAATAAGCTGTCCTTTTAGTTTGGATTGGTTAAAAGTTGGTGTCAGAAATCACTAATTTACATCAGTATCTGGTGGCTCATTCTACCTACTTTCATTTTTTTCTATTTTTGTGACTAGAATTTAAAGATAAGTAATGTCTAGTTGCACGTATTGTCAAAGATAACAGTAATTTCGCAACTATTTATTTGTAAAATTCTCAAGTGGACTCTTACACAAGTAGAAAATTTAAGGCACGAGCCTTGTTACTTTACGAGTACTCTATGATCTCATCTTTTAACTTTCAATTATAATTTTGGATGTCACACTATCTCGTATCCTGATAGTTTTCCAGAATTTCCCTAAAGCAGTGCTATTAGATATTTCAGATGCATTGGTCAAGTTTGACTTAATTAACATCGTATACACTTTTATGTGAACTATCATGTTTTATACTTCTTTTGTTTCTCTAACTTTTCCTAAAAGCTTAAAGCTCTTCCTGAAGGCGGGGGTCGTTTAACACAAAACAGTCTAAGTTGTGTAGTTAGTTTTTGTTTTCCACATTCGTTAAACACAAAAATTAAGTTGGATTTCTATTATCTATCTATGGTTGTCTTAGGTAACTGTATATGATGTGATATGTAACAGAAACCTTACTTGAATATTTTGACTGTTAAATAAGACATTTTTGGGCATTTCCTTACGGTTTGGTCAGAAATTATTTTGGTTAAAAGTCTGATATGCAGGGGAAAATACTATTAATTTAAGATGTATAAATTATTTTCAACATAGTATTTGTCACACTATATAATAGTCACTCAAGAAATTGGCTTTTGATGGTATATTATATTACACCTCGGTAATGTATGAGAATGATCATTGAGCCTCTGTCCCAGTGTCCAATAACCATTAAATTAACACATTCGCTGCTGAAAACCTTTAAACAGGCGCTCGCCAATTGCGGCGAGGCCCGGGCGGAGCCCCGACGCGCTAACTGAATCAGCGATCGCTGTTGGTATTGAAATATCTCAGTAAGACGAATCACAAAAGAGCAGTGGTGATTGTTCTGTGTTACTCGGAAAGTGGACGTAGTTCACTGAAACACCCAAAGGTAGCAGCACTGCCTGGATCAATAACCAGAGTCTTTGTGAACTGAGAAAATCCCCGAAAACGGGACAAAAGCATTGCCAGACGGGATTTTACGGGAAATCTTTGTACCAACCTACACCAGAATAAAGCTCGCATTATAAGCTACAGGCTGGTAAAAATTACAACGTTCCCCCGACAATGGCTGAACCACACTGATCCGGCAAACAATGCAATGCGCGCTCCCCCACCGGTGGACCCCCTGCTCCTCAGCTGAGACGCGCGGGGTCCACCGGTGGACCCGCCGCATCGAATGTGTTAAGTTAACTCAATACATGACATTTTTGTAACATTTGTGCTATTTCCATTGCAGGAGAAGTGCCACCAGTACTGGCCGAGCGAGAGGTCAGTGAGGTACCAGTGTTTTGTGGTTGATCCGATCGCAGAGTACAACATGCCTCAATACATCCTGCGAGAGTTCAAGGTCACAGACGCACGAGATGGCAGCTCTCGCACTCTCAGGCAGTTCCAGTTCATTGACTGGCCCGAGCAGGGCGTGCCTAAGTCGGGCGAAGGGTTTATAGACTTCATCGGACAAGTGCACAAAACTAAGGAGCAGTTTGGCCAAGACGGACCCATCACTGTACACTGCAGGTTAGCATATTCTTTGATAGAAATTGGATGTTAATTAGTAGTTTATATACTACAAGTCTCCTTTAATTGCCACCTTACTTATGTGACCATTCACATCTAAGAAGATTTTTGGCTTTAACGACAGCTCAACACAACCCATAATTTGTCTCAATCTCATTACATTCAAAGGTCTCGTATCTTTATTCACTTAAACACACAATCCCAGTCTGTGATGCCACACTGGTGCAAATTATTTTTAGCCGCCATTCTTATGTGGAGGGATGCTGCGTTCTGATCAAGGGCTGTAAATAGCCTGGTAACTGAGTGGATAAAGTGCTTGCCTGGTAATCAGTAGGTTGATGGTGCGATCCTCTGGAGAGTCAGTAGCTTCCTCGTTACTAAGAAACGACTGGTCTTAGTAACAAAGGTAACTAGCAATCTCACTCTATACTCTAAACGTTTTGCTCACTGGTATTCAAGATGTCGCATTGTGTACCTGTTTCAGTGTTGCAGTGATAATGAAATGCAAATAACCACATTCTATTACATTTCAGTGCGGGGGTTGGTCGCACTGGAGTGTTCATCTCTCTGAGCATAGTGTTGGAGCGAATGCAGTACGAGGGAGTCGTGGACATGTTCCAGACTGTGAGAATCTTACGAACCCAGAGACCCGCCATGGTTCAGACAGAGGTATGATTTACATTCCAAAGTCTGCAGAAAAACCAACAAAGAATTCAAATACATATACTTATGTTCAGAAATCCAAAAATAGGTTTCCCAAACATCTTTTTTCATGCGGAAAACCAAAATAGGAATTTAGACATAAACATTTAGTCAAAATAATCCCCAAAAAAGAACTTCTGTTTATGTATAGAAAAGTGGAATAAAAAACATATTTTTTGTGAAGTTATGACTCCAAGGGACCTTTATTCCAGCAGTAATTCATAAATAAAATTCAAACATTCAGTTAATAAAGAGACCCCTTCATGGATCTTCATTCTTCATGCGTGGAAAAACCACACAATGGAATTCATTCTTATGATTTATGTCGCCAATGCATCTATAAATGATGTTTCTATTTTCAGAAAACCCTCAAATGGATTCCTACACCAACACACTTGTTATTTGTGTTTGTTGTGTAGTTGAACACTCTCTTGTGTTGCAGGACCAGTACCAGTTCTGTTATCGAGCCTCTCTAGAGTACCTCGGATCGTTTGATCACTACACCAACTGACACCAGGCCGGGGTCGAGTACTGCGCCTAGACAGTGACAGTGTGTGTTGTGTAGTTAGTGTACATTCACTCAGACATATCACCTAGTAGGCACATCCGTTGTTGGATCGATTGAATGACTCGCCCCCGAGGCATCACGTCTCCCGGTTTTACAGACTTTCCGCTTTCAATATTTCGATATTGGCGCTTCTGTGCATATGTAAACAAGTTCACCTCGGACTAACGAGAATCAGTGTTAGGATGAATTAAATTTCCCTCCCTTTCCTGGTCCTATAGAGTATAAAATTATTGAGGTTTGAATTTTTTACTAGTAATAACTTGTTGACGATCGTCTCGAACCGGTTACAGTTTCAACATTCCAACGGCGAGCGGCGGATCCTTTTTGGGATGCGTTTGTATCAATAGATCGAGTCCAAATTATTATGAGTTGACGTCTAGCTATTTGTATCCTTGTGATTATGTTTTAGAACATAAGTTGTGCTAAATTTGTATTAGTGTTGATTTAGCTAGATTTTAGATTAAGATTTTTTACCCGAGGTCACAATAAGTCAGTTCAGTTAGCTCGTTAAAGGTTGGTTTTACATGAGGGATGTTGGTAAAACTGTGCCTGCCGCCACTGCCAGGCTTACCACTACGCACATGTAGTTATTGTATGTTTTATCCCTCTTCTTTTTGGGAGTTGTGGTTTTTGGAAGATTCAGCGAATCATGACATTAATTTTAAGTACGCACTGACTGTTATTTAGATTTAGATATATATATATATTTTATATAGTTTTGTTAAGTTGTGAACGATGACTGGTCGGCATTCTATTTCATAGTAGGAGAATATTGTCTTACCGAAGAACTTAAAATATAATTTATGTAGGTACCATTTACAACTGTACATTTGACAACAGTTCCTCATCTTACAAAAAAGTAATTTTTGCATGGTATGAGCAACATTCTATATTACTTATTGCACTTCTATTAATCAATAATTTAAATGCATGCCAAATTCTATCTGTAGGTACATGTACCTATTTCAATCCATCTTCATGCCACTTTGTCATCGTTATACTGGTGTAGTCTAGTCAGTGTAGGTTTCTACTCAAGTACAACGCCTAGCTTTATTTCTGCCACACTATGTTAAGCCATAACTCATCAAGACATATTTCTAGACATTGACTGTTTAACATCATAATAAATATAAGTATTTCTTAATTCAAAGTAAAGACCTGAAACTTAACATACCATTTTATTAACGACTTATTTTACAATTTAGTGTACTTATTTGTAGTTAGGAACTAAAGCCGCAGAAATATATTGTTATGTGATGTAGCGTTTAAGCTCATTTTATCTTTATTTTATACAATGAGTTTTTACTTAGATTTCCTGAGCTGATATTTTAGATTTAATTTGCATTTACACTGGATTGTTAAGACATCTTTTTTTTTATTTGATGTCTTTTGTGCAATAACGACTAAGGGACTTAAAGACATCAATGGGTACTTGTAGCTATATTTACTAAACCACAACTTCCAAAAGGTTGTTTAGTTTACCTTATTTTTAATCGGATTAGTTAGATTTTATATACATGTTTAAGACACCAACTTTGATATTATTTTTAATGTAACCTCTGTAACTTAATTTAATCTTAGCCATGATTTCATTTTTTACTTTACTTTAAGGAAGGATTAGTATTAATGGCAGGTCGTCTAATGAAATCAGCTGGAAAATATATTGAAGTTGGTTTTGTAATTTGATTAGTTATTTTCCCGTCTCAATGTTTGTTATTTGAACTTATTTTAAACTGATGTGTTTGCAGGAAAATTAAAAGAAACATAAGTTTGAACAGCAATTACAGATTTTAGGTTGAAAGCACAATGTAAAATAAAAAAAGTGTTATCAAAGTTTGAATCTTGTCTAATATTTTATACAAATATTCCATTGGCTGTAAACTCAAGTTAATAGTTAAAAGTTGTCAAAAAAACACTCATTCTTTCATACAGTGGATGCAAACCAAATCACTCTGTATTCAAAAATAGCCCATTTCCATACAGCTGAGATTTTCAAAAATCGTGAATTTCCATACATCAAAAACAAATAGTGATCAGCTGATTTTTCCTGACATAAACATTACTTTCGCTACACAAACAATGCTTTGCCTGGCTGATTTCAGGAAAGTATTGCATGTGGCAAGGAAAGTATTTTTTGTGTAGCGAATACCAGGAACTTCCCGGTTAGCTCAAAAGGAGCGAGCACCATTGTGTTTGAATTAAAAATACATTACAGAAAATTGATTTATTTAAATATTTAAATACAATTATTTTTATTGACAGAGCTTACAACTTGCATGAATATTAAATTTAGACTAGATTAAATAGTTAAGAAACACAAATAAATCTTACACAACATTGAGTAGAGAACACTGAAATTTAGAAATTCAAATTTATATTACATTGCAGTTCTGCATTTTCTATCTCATACCTCTTGCTAGACTTTTTGGGGAGTTAGGTTCCCTGAAACATCTAATGGAGAATCTTTTTTGGCAGGTTGGAAATTTTTTTAAGCCTGTAAAAAAAATTGTAAAAAAATTGTCAATCAGCTGAATTTTACGCAAAAATCAATTGTAAAGACATATTGTGTTTAGATTAGAAAAATGAATAGATTATGAAATATTGTATAATGTTTTTAAGTTTGATAAAGTAGTTTTTTTCATCGTGATATGATGATAAGTATCGTTCAATTCAAGTTCCATTTCGTGGCTAGATAGTGTTTCCCTTTTACCTTATTCCTTCCATCGTGAACTGATACCAGAGAAAACTGAATTGTTCATGTCAATAAAATTTAAACAACGCTTCATACATGAAATTGAATATGAAAACATTTAAATAACATTAATATTTACAGAGCACAAATGGCGAGCAGGGAGGTGAGTGAATCGGCAAAAAACTCATTAATTGAGTAGGAAGCCATGTCCTTTAGCCACAACACCAAGACACGCTCAAAGCGGTTTTTCTCAAACAGCCTAACATCAGTTGGAAGCCTGTTGAACATCTTCAACGTCAAGTCCGGGAAGTGCTTTGAAGTCTTAACTAGCCTGCGTCTCGGAATGTCCAGATTAGATCTGCTTCTTACGTAGTGGTCATGAATTTCACTTGTGGTGGTGATGGAGGCTTCATGTCGCTTAAAATATACCAGTGAAACCAAGATATGGTTCGATGGTACGGTAAGTATCCCCAAACTTCGAAACAGGGGACAGCAGTGATCTAGGTAATCACTAGAGGTGATAATCCTCACCGCTGCCTTCTGCAGCTAAAACAGTCTGTGGCACTCCGAAGCGTGCCCCCAAAGAAGCAGTCCATAGCTGATGTGAGAATGGAACAGGGCATGATAAACCACTGTTAGGTATTTGCAGTCGAGTAGGCTCTGAAGCTTCCGCAGCAGGAACAGGACTCTGGACAATCTCTTGGTAATCACATCAATGTGTTTATCCCAGGATAGCTTAAGGTCCAGAGTGAAAAACAACATTTTTACGGGATTAGCGGCTTTGTGAAATTCTATTTCGCTGAGACTACAGAGTAGTAACTGCATTTTTGACTCGTTCAGTTGAGTATTGAGAAGAGTGGTGTCATTTGGGAACATTAGCACTCCCTCCTCAACACTAAGGTCGTTGATGTATAAAATGAACAGTAGGGGACCCAGTACTGAGCCTTGCGGCACACCATAGTGTACTAGTTGAGTAGCCGATGTCGAGCCGTTAATAGTAACACACTGCAACCTCCCATTCAAATTTCAAATAGGACTCCAGCATACTTAGAGTCTTGCCACAGAGACCATAGTGACGAAGTTTGTCCAACAGAAGGTTATGTGAAACACAGTCAAAAGGCCTTTGTTAAGTCACATAATGTTAAAAGAATCGAATCTTTATTTTCAAATGCGTCTGAGACTCGCTTGACAAGGTCCATAACTGCTGAGGTGTGGTAGATTTCCCCGACCTGTAACCATGATGAGTGCTGGACGAAAGGCTATTTCCTTAAAAAATATTAAAACACATATTAAGATATTAAAACAGTAGCAATATCCCCTCTTACTTATGTCATCAACATACAGAAGCTGCATTGTCAACATGAGTGGTTGGTTATAGTTAATAATAACCTCTCCTGGAAGTTTTATGTAGTAATTGATTTGTACAGTTCTTTTTAGCGAATTTCCCTATAGGGAAGTAGCTATTACCGTAGGTGGCATGGTAAGACCTAGACCCGGGACTGATTTACTTTTTCATTTTGATGTCCCCAGAGGCCAAAAACACCATTCGTTCAAATTTTTATATATGTATATATATATATATATATAAATATATATATAGATTTATATATATATATATATATAAATATATATATACGTCCGTGAACGCGATAACTTGAGTAATATCTGTCCTATTTTGATGAAATTTGGTTTAAAGGTGTAAAGCGGGATAAACTTGAATGAGTTCGCGAACCAGCACGATCGGACCACGGGAACGGGGCTTTACGGGGGGTTTTATGGGGTAAAAATTGGTTTATCTCATTTTTGACCCTCAAAATACAAAATTTCCCAATTTCTCTTTAGACCTTTTTAAAGAGCTTAAAAAAACAAATAACTTAGTATATAAAAGTATTTTTGTTCGATCATTAGTAACGGAGAAAATTTAAAAAATTGTAAATTAAAAATTCCCATGTTATTCTTATGGAGAATATTGTCAAATGTTGTAGTTTGCTTGTTTATGGATATATTTTGATCAAACTTGGCAAATTTATTTATTTTATACTAAGCTATCAATATTTTACTCAAAAACACACTTTATTAGTTTCCTTGTAGCAGCAAACCTAGGTACTCGTTAAACCTTATGTTATTAAAATATATTTAACTGAAAATAAATTCAGACAAATGGAAATTCGCTTAGTCGGCAGGTTTGCTGCGGCGGGGGTATTTTATTGTTAGGTTGGTTGAGAGTAGTATGGTGAAAAATATCATATGTCACTTGTCCAAAATGTGTTTACCCTACTCGTATGGTAATCACTTGGTCGACAGGTGACTCGTCTGGTAAACACTTATTTTCCAGACTAGTAACCTAATATACTATTACTCTGCTTGTGCCTAACCGATTTTTTGTTTTTCTATTGAATAGAGATGTTGATGTTTAATGATGAACCTTACCACATTCCCTAGGGTCTGACTTATACAGGAGGATAAATAAGGCAACGATGACATAATAGCTTAGTTCATAATTCCTCCGTGAACAGCGAACTAAAAGTAAAGAGCACAGCGCGTAATTTTTATTTCATTATTATAGTTTTGCCAAGCTTCGATGTCTTCTAGCAAGAATAGTGCATTTTTCCCCTCTTCTGACGAAGATTAAAAGTGTATTGAAGCAGTGTCTTGCTCATTCAGCTTTAATTTACAGCACGCTACGAGTGAAACTGTTTCTTTGCAAGGGTAGAAAAATCACTTATAGACATACCACAAACAAAACAACCTGCGCAGAAACGAAAAGATCACATGGTTCGCGCCGGTAGGTGTGGCGTACCATTCAAACCTGCGCGGCTCGAAACGGCCCAGGGTTCTTTTGTTTCTGTTTCTGGTATTACTATAACAGTCCCTGGCCTTGCTTTCAATTGGTTTTGTATAAGTATTTTAAAATATCCTTCCTCATCACTTCTGGTAAAAACACTATGCGTACACAACGGAGGTTCGCTTTTGGTCCAGGAATATCCTTGTCTTCTATGTTTTCGATCAACAGAATCCTCAACACTTTGCTATTCACACTCATAATAGTCATAATGAGAGCACTAAAAAACATTATAAAACCGTCAGCAACCAACCGTTGAACTGGTTCTTGGGCGGGTCACCGGAATTTTACCCCGGAAATTTACCCCCATGAAAAAACGCCTACGTTATTTTGACGTCACAGTTCTGTGGGTACATTTCCACGAGAAAATTCCAAAAACATGGATTTCAATGGTTATGCAAATAATGTATCCGTATGAAATCTATATTTACTAATATATAGCCTAAATATGAGATGGTGTGTGTTTGTGTGTCTGTCTGCTACTTAATAACGCAAGAACCACTGAACTGATTAAAATAAAATTTTGTATGAAGGTAGCTTATGTACCTGGTTAACATATAGGCTTATTCCTGTTATCATATTTCCCTTGGGATACGCCCCATGGGCTTCCAAAGTTTCAATGTTAACATTTTGGAAGAATGTAAATAGTAAAAAATATTAATTGAAGTCAGCTGTAAATACCATAATTTGACAGTTCAAACAGCAGAGGTTAAGAGGTACAGGTTCTGCTCCCAATATTCTAAAGTTTATGCTTCTTATGAGAATAGTTTGATTAAAATATTTATGAAAAAATACTATTTTCATGGAAACAGAAGGATCATTACAATGTATATAGCCTAAATCATTTGGAATAATTTTGATATGGTGTAGCTTTTTGTTTACAAATTTGAACTGATAAACAAATATTTGGATCAGGATTTTTATAGGTTTTAAAACTTATACAGAGATATATGTACTGGTACAGTTTTAAAAATTTAACTGACTCAATGTTTATACTTTTATTTGTGTTTTAATTCCATTTACAAACTAAATTTCAACTATACCTAATTTTATTCTGTAGCTACTACTTATATTTTCATTTTCTTCTATCAATTACTTCACATTCACTTTTTTTACATTTACAGAAACCTCATATTAATAGTTGTGT